GTTTGCCACACGGACGAAAAGTTGAAGATAGGATATTTAACTGAACGAAGACATTATTTTATGTTTAATAATGACTAGAACTGCATTCACAGATTTTTTAAAAGCGCCTGCTACATTGAGAATCACACTAGGTAGTGAATTTGAAAAAAAAACACATGACGTATTTTATTTTAACCATCGAAAGGGTTATTAATCATAAGTATTATTTTTTGCTCAATGACATAGTATTTTATATGAAAGGAAGACCATGAAAATAAAATATTGTTCTAAAATACAAATTTCATGCGTGCAGTGGTTATATTTTCATAATTATGTCGAAAAATTAAACATTAAGTTAGAGAATAAGACTAGTTTTTACGGGTTAATGAACGAAAATTTATTTATTTATTGACGTTTCGCAGCCTTTACAGGCTGCGTCGCGTCGTCAGAATCAATTTTTTATTTAATTTTGTCGAGCTACCTTCGAATGACTTTTTTTGAGAGTTCATTGTTCGATTTTTAAAGTTGAATGTACCACGTCGCCGTCACAGTCGCGCCAAACCTAGCACAGTCGACCGACAACCTGCTATATTACCTTACATGAAAGGAGTCACTGACAAGATTGGGAGGATTCTGAAGCGTGCTTCAATCAATACTTACTTCAAGCCGCCAAAGAAGATCAACCAGTTTCTACGACCGGTCAAGTGCAATATACCCTTTCAAGTTGCTGGTGTCTACAAACTTGAATGCGACTGTAGGCTCTCCTACATCGGGCAAACAAAGAGGAGTATAGGGACTCGGGTAAAAGAACATATCGCAGATATGAAACATAGGCGCGAAAATAAGTCTGCAGTGTGTGAACCTGCTTTAGGGGGACCAAACCATTACATTAGATTTGATAAACCACAGATCCTTGCAACTGAGCAACGATTCATTCCTAGAATGATACGCGAGGCTATTGAGATTGAAAATATCCAAATTTCAATAGGGAAGATGGTTGGTATATACCACCAGCTTGGGAACCCATTATACAGGAGATAAAATCCCAACCCCGAACACACACTGCAAGACCAACAGATACTATTAGTTCTTTTTGTTTGCATAATTTAACATAAGAAGGAGATAGAAAGCCTCTCTTGAATTTGTTTCGCCGGTTCTTCTCGGAAAGGTCTCCCAATTTTGGAACCGATGGTAGTTTACGGTAGTTAGAGTCAAATAAATAAATTCAAAATAACAAAAAGATTTTTTAAATAAAGTACTTTATTAATTAAATTAAGTAATAAATTCATACATAGACAATAAAATAAAACTTTAAAAATCGAACAATGAAATAACCGAACGCTCAAAAAAAAGTCTTTCGAAGGTAGCTCGACAAAATTAAATAAAAAATTGATTCTGACGACGCAGCCTGTAAAGACTGCGAAACGTCAATAAATAAATAAAGTTTCGTGCATTAACCCGTAAAAAACTAGTTTTATTTAATGAGTGATGTGCGTGAAAACCTAAGAAACAAATTAAGTTAGAGATTAACGTGTTTAAAAACACCTATCTCTTAAGCTGGGGATACACATGCCAATAAATCGGGACAGTGGCTGGCATGTACGAGTAACTGGCACACTGCGGATACATTTGCAAGTAATACTGGCATGCAAGTTGTGCCCTTGCATGCCAGTATTACCATCGCGTATACACAGGACAGTTCGTGAGAGTCACTCGTACTTACCTATTCTTGCACGCCAAATATGGATAACAATCGGAGTGAATAAAACAAAATCGTGTTGTTAATAGCAATTGAATGTGTAGCTAAATTAATGAGAGAAAAAAAAAACGATGATGGGTTTGGGTAAGAGATTGAATTAGTAGAAGGGAAGATTTTGGAACAATTAGTAATGAACTGTATAGTTCTCTCATCTCCATCCATCGTGCCATGTTGAACAAAAAATGCATACATGAATACAGCTACATGCCAGTTTGCCACTATTACAGGCATGCCAGATAGCATATACACATAACAGTAGCTGGGACGTTCAAGGAGCTGGTATGCTAGTGTGCAAGCTACGGGCATGTGTATCCTCAGCTTTACTGACTTCAATAAAATGGCTGCCTTTTTGTAGCATATACTAACCGGCAACAATCAAATATTATTTTTTTCTAAAAAATCCCATTTATAGAGGTCAATTGACTACTGAAAATTTAAGAATTACCATCAAAGAATAATAAAAAGATATCGTGTTCAGTTTTTTATGTATATTTATAAATTTCTTTATATTTTAGTATAAATGCATAAAAGATAATCATTTTGGGCAACATTAGTATAGGTTCCCCTAGTAAACCCTAGTCCAGTTCTGTAAACCCATATCTCTCGAGTAATTTACAAATGGAACAATCTTTTACTCCAGGACATGGCAACGAAGGGGGTCACTTATTACAGGTTTTATTTAAATTTCTAACTGGATTTCGAAATAGAAAGCTGTTTATGAAAACAAAAAGCAAATGAACACTATAGCAGATAAACTATTGTTGTTCGTTGTTCGTCATTGATTTTCAGTATTGAGAAAGTTCTTTCGTACAAAACGGTGGGACCACGAGCCCTTCAACGAAAAATAGTTTTCTGCTAGTATATGTGGACAATTCGCTCACAATATTATGCCAAAACTAATATCCTATTTATTGATGACGCCCCCCTCTTATCTTTCCGAGAACTTTGGCGCCCCTTATAAAAGTGACTAAGTGACTATCTTTCTATTAATGAGAAAAATATTGGTAACTTTAAAATAAGCAATAAAATTAAATATGTCGCAGGCTTTTCAATCCCAAAGAGTAAAGCTTACGATGAGTAATTTCATACTTTTCAAAGTCTAGTTAGCGTTACCGTTCAACGTAAAAAAGAATGTCATTTGTCTAAACCGTCTGCTAACTTTCCTCACAGCAGAAATTCTACATTTAAGTCCACTCAACAATGGAATGAAATTATTAAATATTAAAAAAATAGCCAAGTGCGTGTGATTTTACGGAACTTTAAGAGCGAGACCACGCTCTCCGTAAAATCATTTGTTTGTCAACCTTTTGTTTAACTTGCACCGTTCGTATTTATCTACAAAAAATTTAAACTATTTTTCGACCATTTCTTGTTATCCGATTCCGCTAAAATTTGGCATACCTATGTAGGTCTGGTGTGGTGACAATGAAATAATATGGTACCATGTTGCTGTTCTGATGATGAAGCTGGAAGGTGGGCATAGAAACTCTTTTATGAAATGACGCAATCCCATCAAGTATGGGCTCGTTTGATTCATCTTAACGAATACTTTATTTAAGATGGTATTCAGGAGTTTCTTTTAGTACCTTTTCAATTTTCTTTGTACTTTTGCTCTTACATAAGTACTAGGCAAGATATTCATTCATTTAGTTCTAAATAGGTAGGTACATCACTTACATACCGATTACAAAAATATTTAATAAAAAATGTGACATATTGAAAATCCTACGCCAAACGTATTTACAAACCAGTATTCTTCTGTATACAACAGAATTTAATCTATTACAGATGTTCCGATACTAGTAAATACGAGTAGATACTCGATACTTTTGATTCGATACCAAGTATTTATAGCATCGAATCAATCTTGCGATAAATACTCGGTATCGAAACAAAAGTACTTGGTATCAAATCGAATCAGCATCACCATTTAAAAAAGATAAAATTTCCGAACGCAGACAGTATGAGAGAGCAAAAGCCCTTTCGCTCGGTTACCGGTATTCATCGCACATAGGCACCACCAAAATCAATAAAATTTTACCAAAACAAACGAAACAATTGCAAAATGTAAACAATGAAGTCTGTGAATTCTGTGTGAACTTTGGATAAAGGCAAATTAGAGAAAAAGCAAATAAAGGGACCAATGAAAGGTAGGATCCTATACTTTTCTTTTTTGCGACTGCTCTCCTTAAATATTAAATAATCCCTTTGAATTCCTAAAATGTTAAAAAAAAGTGACACAAAACATTTATATTCTCGTTTTTTCGCACTTTTGTTTTAATTTTCGTTCTTCAACGTTTATTGTTTTTACTATAGTTTCCTCAAAGTAAAAAATAAATAAAAATAAGTGCTAAAAGTATCGATATCAGTAAGTATCGATACTTTAGGAGTATTTATTTAAGTAGTATCGAAAAAAGATTTGAGTACTATCGAAATGAGTAGGTATCGATACCTTGATGGTATCGGAACATCCCTAGTAGACTGTTATTGGTCGAAATAAAACCATTTTAAGTATTAAGGAGGTTCTTCTATAAATTATTGTATGTTTATCAAGTGGACGGTAGTATATTTTCTGTTAATGTACTAATATTTCTTAATGCGCTCTTTCCCCATTTATACACTTTAATTAGGCAAAAACCACACACTCCTTCGTGCGCAAATTGTGCTCTAAAAGAGGTACTACAAAAGTTTTCCTTCCCGTGTTCTGTTAATTGGCTTGCGACCTTCTATATAAGTATGCTTACATAACTCCGGCTTCACACACCTTTACGCGGATCAGTCAAGGGTTGATTAAATTAAAACATCTTTACGATTAAATTCGTAAAATTTTGACGAACTCTGAAAATTAAGTTTCTCGTACTTTCACGGTACATGTCATTTTACTTATGGTTATGTTAGTAAAATCCTTTAAGCCGTTCATCATGTACGTTATTAGTTTGGTTGACCAAGCGAAAAATATAATCATTTTAACGAATAAATGATATTTAAAAATCCATTAACTTGAGTGCGACTTAGATACCAACGTTTATTAAAGGGAAAAGGAGCTATGACATTAATTAAACTGCTCGCAGCTAATAGTTTCGCTTCCAGGAATAATTATAAATTCCCAACAATTATTACTTAAAGTTTAATTTAGTACCAAATATCCTGATTTACTTAAGATGTCATGGCTCCTTTTCCCTATTCCATCCTAGGGAAGGCCTGTGTCCCAGCAGTGCAGACATTAATAGGCTAATGATGATGATTAATAACTGTATTTCAGGTGTCGAAGTCTGCGGACCGCGGGAAACATCTTGGTAGCAAATCTTGCACTCAGTGACTTTCTGATGCTGGCTAAGACACCGGTATTCATTTATAACTCCTTCTATCTGGGTCCGGCGTTGGGAAAACCGGGTAAGCCTTTTTTTTAATAACCTAAGGGACCTCTAATACCTTTGGAAACTTAAACATATGTCACAATCACCCATTAAATAGGTGAACGAAACTTTCCATACAAAATTTCATGCCCCATTTCAAATTCAATTTTTATTTTTATGGCATACGAGTAAGTTAGCTTAAAACAGTCTTCAGGGTTCACTACGTTTATACCAAAAACCATTTTAAATAATTTTAAGTTTTTAGACGACTGAATTGTTTGTTTGTTTTTGTTTTATCAGTTATCATACCATGATTGAAAGAAATAAATACAATAAATATTTCTACCCTACATTTAATCTCAAACTATATAACTACAAATATTTAAAAAAAATAACGTCTTTGTACCTATGTGTTGCAGGTTGCATCATCTATGGATTTCTGGGCGGGTTAACAGGAGCAACCTCCATCGCCACACTATCTGCTATTGCACTGGATCGCTACTGGGCGGTGGTGCGCCCCCTGGAGCCGCTTCGAGCGCTGACGGCAATTCGCGCGCGACTTCTCGCCGTGTCCGCCTGGCTCTATGCGGCCATCTTCGCATCCATCCCCGCCTTCGACTTCGGATTCGGACATTACGTTCCCGAAGGCTACCTCACCAGTTGCAGCTTCGACTACCTCACCGAAGAAGCAGCACCACGCTACTTCATATTCGTCTTCTTCTGCGCCGCGTGGCTCGCACCTTTCTGTACTATATCGTTCTGCTACCTAAACATATTCCGAGTAGTCGCCTGCAACAGAAATGTCGCCACCTCCAACCAAGAGCAACGACTGTCTTCGAGACATGTCAAAGAGAGAACCAAACGCAAAGCTGAAATAAAACTTGCATTCCTCGTTATTGTCGTCATAGCATTATTTTTTATATCGTGGACGCCGTACGCGGTAGTAGCTCTTCTTGGTATAGCCGGTAAAAAAGACCTTATTACCCCCATAACTTCCATGATACCCGCATTGTTTTGTAAAACTGCCGCTTGTGTAAATCCTTTTATATACATCATAACTCACCCTAAGTTTCGTATTGAATTTAAAAAAATGATATATAGGGATAAATCGAAACGGATGGGAGGCACCATGAAAACTACAGCATATACCACAGAAGTTACGAAACTGCACAGACCTAGCAAAGATCTAAGTGATACTGACGTGGAAGTTGTGGAAATGAGTAATATACCATATCAAAGCGAAGAAGTCGGTGAGCAACCGGGAAACATACAAACAATATCATCGAAACTGGCAGCACGTCAGGATACGTTGAAAAGTTTAAGTATGAAAAGCTTCGAGGAAAACGTGGTAGCACCGCCATCATGGTACGCCAAACCGAAATTTGCAAAGAAGAAGAGTTTTCACAGGAGATCTACTAAAAGTGTAATATCAATAAACTAAGATCCGACCAAATAGAATTATTGTTGAAGTAAAAAGCACGCTATTGGTACTGTTGCGTAAGTCACAATGAAATATACCAAAAATCACAATTAATGTACCCACATCACACATTACCTCTGCACCATACTGGTATATGTATAGGTACCATTTCCCTGCAGTTTCAATCTTCACCTTCAAACCACTTATTCCTTGAATCAATTAAAACCACATGAAAATGTGTTGTTTTCCTTAGTTTTTCACACTGTTGTACCAGAGCTACGGTACCACTTTTTTTTTATTAGGTGCAGAGATATTGAGAATGAATTTGTATTATTGGTATGATTTAATATTTAAATTTACCTTTATTATTATTAATTACCTACGTTTTAATTTTCTTATAATTTTAATGTGAATTGAAGAGTCCTAGTAAGTGAATATACTAGTCATTTATTGCATATACTAAAATATTATATTAAAATGAAAATGCAACCATAAAAAAATTACCACCAATTCTGTTGAATTGAAAGCTTCTGTAATTCAAATGTTTTGTAATAATGTCAAAATAGGTAAATACCTTATTGTATTGGAAATCGTTAACTTTTATTATTTTCAATTGAACTTAGTAAGGTACCTATTACTCACTCGCACTAGTACCTATTTTTAAATTATGTACCTAACCAGTTGCATTTATTTTGACTTGTGTAAAATTGTTATGAAAAATACATTTTTAGCTACCGTCTGAAGGTAGACACCACCACGTATAAAGAACTGTGTTTTGTTTAATTTTCCTTTATTCATCATCAATCAGTGAATATCGTCAGCTATGGTAAGACTTCATACCCTTCATACATCGCTCTGCTCTTATTGCATCGTAATACTATTGATTTTAAACTAATACTATATAAAAACTGAATCTGGCTTAACAATTAATGCTAAAATGTCCACTTTACTATACGATTCATATGTCTACCTAACTCCCATTATTGAAAACACCAACGCATAGGTAGTAATATACACAAAATTATAAACAAAAATAGGTAGGTATTTGTTCTACACGACTTATGGATAAGATTAGCATCTGTATTTAGCATCTTCAGGATCGTTCATCAGGGCCTTATAATTTGAAGTACCTACTTATTCAATTCAAGAAAAGACACCAAAAAGTTCGCTCGTTTTGCTTAAAAGCGTCCCGCGCCATTTTTTCGTCGGCCGTGTTGCCACATAATAGGCTAGTTGACCCTTTTTGGAAAAAGGTTTTAAATGGTTAATAAATGTTCTATTAGACCGACAAAAAATGTATTGTATTTTTTTTAAACCTAGAAAGCTACAAATCTTTAATTTTAAAATTGACTTTTCATGGACATACAAAAACGCTGTCGGCCATTTTAGTCTATAGATTATCTATGCTATGACGTGAACTGTGGTAAACAAAAACTCGTAAACACGTAGAAAATTACTTTTAACTGAGTTTATAATAAAAAAAAACATGATTTCTAATAAATACCACGAAAAATAAAATAATTATCATTACTGTATTGTACGAGAATATAAAAACACATCCTTGAAGACTCCAGGAAAGTTGTGGATTAAAGTTCCGAAAGAAATAAATTAACCTACGCAACTTTATTACACTTATTTATATGTTGTATCAGTTTTATATTTATTACTACATTGTAATACTAAATGCACTGTACTTACATAGATGCCTTGTCGTTTCTCTGCTCCGCAGAGCAGAAATCGGGGTTTAGTGCAACAAATTCACCAACCATCAATGCGTCAATTCTTGGCAGATTTGTGCTTTCTGCTTTCACAAAGCCGGCATCCATCAAAAAAAACTTAGTTTACTGTTTTATTCTTTCCTAAAGTTAAAAGTGTTCTAAGATAAATTTAGTCAGATGAAAGAATCCACCTACAGTAACACGCGAATGACATTTAGTTGTTTACCACAAGAGACGTCAAAATCATGGTGGATGTGGCGAACAGCATTTTTAGTGTTTAAAAAATATAGACTAAAAAATATTTTTGAAGTTATACTTCTTTAGGCGCGTTATGAAAAAATGATGAGAGCGAAATTTTAAGATGCGCGCGCATCACTGTAACACAAAAAATTCACAGCATGAAGTTGGTCGAAAATCTACCAACAAAATAGAAATAGAATCTCTATTTAATGGGTGCTACGACTGCATTGTGAAGGCCTATCAAAAGTATTTATTAATCTGGAACAACGGAACCAAAGCACGATTCAGAAGACTACAGCGCCATCTCTTGACCATTGGTGTAGTAGAACCAAAAACCACATCTTTATTTTTTGTAATAAAGTAACAGTTATAGGTATTCATATTTATAATATTTATCCACAGGTTTCTAGTTTGTATATTCGGAATACGTGTTTGAGTTTCATACTAGTGCAAATAACATATGTTCTAATAAATTATAGTCAGTAGCGATTTTAATTGAATATTTTGATTATTTATTTATTTTTTCAAATTAAAACTGAACTTTATTGACTGTGTCCTTTTCCGGACTTTTTATTAATTTATTGTAATTAATTATTTGCATTCAATTAAAAACTAATTTTAAACGATGCCAAAGAAGGATAACTTCTCACGCGCCTACATAAGTACACGCACCCATTTTTTAAAATTAAATTTCTACAGCAATCTTCTGCTTTAATGAAGTGAAATCGATATATTAAGGTTCCTTAGACTAAATACTTTAAGAAATAAACATTTATTTAATACAATTCGACATGAGTAAACTAGCCTATTGCATTTGCCGAAAGTCACTTAATTAAAAAATAGTTTTTAAGCTAAACATTTTGCTACCTTAAGTACTTATTTAAATTCCCTGTGTGGGTGTTATATTTTAAATATTCTCTTACTCATTCTTTACTCTTTACGGATATCGTGATGTAAAAGTGATGTTTCTATACTGAAGGTCAGGGCAACTGGGCAACTGAAGAATTAGCGAAATCTTTAAAGCATTGCTACGTCATTTTATTGAGAATATTTTGTAGTGCTGCCTAATTAAGCCTAACAGAAGCTCAATAAGAATGCTGGCTCAATACATCTCGTGCTTAAAGCATAGTAAAAGTAATCACTGCGAACATCATTATTGGTTCTGAGTGCCTAACACGCGAAGAAACACCAGAATGCATCACAGATCACACCCAGGCTTTTTATGGCAACATGGAGCAATTCTAATTAAAAAGGAAAGACTTCATTGACTCAGTATTCTTTACCCTTCTATACAGAAGGATAATTCCAAAAAACATATTATATGAGGTTTTGGCGGGATTTCATCGAGTGCGGTTGGCGTTTTATTTTAATAATTCTTAAATTCGTTCATAGTGGATATTGTGAAACAAATTTGGTGTGATTTTGTGTTACAACCGTCTGCGCAACTGAAGAATTAGTGGAATCTTTAAAATATACGCTATTCCGGTCAAGTGGACGCCGTGAGAACTTTATTGTAGTGTTGACTACCTCACAGAAGCTTATCGGAACAGCCAACTCGATACATTTCGTGCCAAACACTCCAAGTAACATTAGAATGAATCATGCCAACATTCTATAGTATAAAAAAGAAGAAAAAACTTGAGACAAAAAATTGTAAAATAACTTAAGATTTGGCTGTATGGGCATTGTTCCCTTTGCCTTCCCTGAAAAGAGAGAATCTTAAATAAAAAAAAACATTAAAAAACATTGAAGAAATGTCAACAATGGTAAATAACCTCAAACTGTGTTTATGTAAACAGTTTTTTATTAAAAAATACAGTCATGCTAGGCTGTATGCGACTCAAAAGTCTTATAAAGTACTTTTTTTTGGATCCGACTCGATAGCATTAAAAAGCTTGATAAAGGTTAACGAATTCAGGTAAAATCAAAACGGTAATAATTTCTGAATAAATCATTCATCAAATTCTCTCTTTCTTCCTTTAATGTAAGCTTTTCACGCTTATATCGTGGATTCATTTCTTCATATTCTCAGAAAATCAGAAAATATTATAAAACGTTTGGACCTCGTATCTTCAAACAACTCAAAGAACAGGTCAGAAATCGAAAAATATGCACTGACCGAAAGAATTGGTATTCTCACATGGCCACTAGAAAATTTATTTACTTCGGAATATGACATTGGAATAATTGTCGCTTTTGGCCACTTAATCAAAGATGGTGTACTGAACAAATTCCCTTTGTAAGTATGAGGATTCTTAAGACCAAATATAGCCTTTTTGAAATTTCTTTTATGTAAAATTTCTATGCAAATGGAATGTGACAGAACAGTTTTCTATTCTCTCGAGAGATTTTGTAAGTGTATTCATTTTCAGAGGCATGGTTAATGTACATCCGAGTCTTCTTCCTCGTTGGCGGGGTGCAGCTCCAATTATCCATACTCTTTTACATGGAGACCAAGAAACAGGAGTGTCACTTATGAGAATCAAAGCCAATGTATTTGATGTAGGTTAGTATTTTTTCTCAAATATCACCTTTTGGCTAAAGTACCCATCATATAAGAATTTTCAGCTAGTAAATTGTTCATAGGTGAAATTATAAGTCAGAGAAAAGTTGCAGTTTCTAAAGATATTAAGTTACCAGAATTAACTGAACAATTATCAGATATAGGAGCAAATATGTTGGTGGACTGCATCAAAATGTTACCTGACAGCTTAGCTAAAGCTCAACCTCAGAGCAATGATGGTGTTACATATGGTAAGACACATCATAATGTCTTTTATTTATGTAGTAGTTTTGTTCACGCACATAACCCACACACTTCATTTCCCCCCAAGACATCTTAATTTTTACTTTGCACAATAACGGTCGGAGCTAGAGTTTTGTGTCGCGACTTATAACAATCTGTCCTTCTCAAGGTTTATATGGATTGAAAAGGACAGACTGATGTCAAGTTATAAACTAGTAAACACGAATACCCTGTGAGGTTCCTGCATGAACTACGATTGTTTGCAATACCATTTAAATAAAAAGGTGCCAAACAAGCCCATGGTCTATCTGATGGTAAGTGGCCACCATAGTCTATACATGCCATACCACACCAGAGCATTAATTGTACGATTGCTTACCCAATGGAGCCCCGGAACATACATTGTTAATATTTTAAAACTGAATAATTGGTGTAAGTTGACTTTAATATACTATTATTTTACTTGTTTTTAATGTTTTCAGCAAGGAAAATTAACAAATCTATAAGTGATGTGAGATGGACAGATATGAATGCAGTGGATGTTTACAATCTTTATAGAGCAATCTATGGATTATATTCATTAACATCAAAATATAGAGATAAAAGAGTAAAGTTATTTGGAGCTTTTTTGTATGACACAGAAGAAACCGAAAAAAATAATTTACCAGCTGGGACTTTAACATATTGCCACAGAACAAATGCCATCAAAGTACTATGTAAAGACAATAAATATATTTATTTTAAATCAATTAGAATAGTAGGAAAAAGGGAAATATCAGCATTAGACTTTTATAATGGTTATATTAAAAACACACTATTAGAAAAAAGATGTACTCTAGTCTGTTAAAATAAATTACTTATATAATAAGATAAAACACTGGTTTTAATAATACACCGTTTAATAAACATACATAGATACATACGTAATAATATACTTATATATTAACAATTATTATACAATAGGTACTTGGAAAAATATATTCTACATAAACAGATAAATTAAAATATAACAAAATATATACTCATAGCAATAACAACCTACAATCTAACCAATTTATATTAATACATGCAATGACATGCATTTTAAATAACAAATTACAAGTGGAACTCACACCTAATAAAATCTGAAGAATGTGAGGTAAGTCTTTAAAAGCTTAAGTATTATATTTATTAGTATAAATAGCATTATTGTTGCTATATATACTCATATTTTATGCCTATTTTTTCTACTTGAATTATAAATCATAAGGAATAACAAGTGATGATGCTTACACATTAGGTGGGGTAGAGTAATTTGTTGCGCCTAAAAGAAAAAAAATATATAACATATTTCACTTGCTATTAAGAACTGGACAGGTTTTCAAATTTTCATGACAGACCTTAACTATATGCACTAAATAAATAGAATAAAGAATCGCGCACGGAGAGTTACGCTCAAAATGTAAGTAGGTTTGTAAATTTTATAGTTTGATCATAATAATGTAAAATTAATTACAAAACATTGTTGTAATATACATATATATAATTATGATTTGATATTGCTTTGACTGTATTGACTTGAGCTGTAATGGGTTGCAGCCCATGATATATATTTCAATTTGATGAAATCTTTTGCAGAATCGAGTGAGGTTCTCTAAGCGTTCCTGACAACATAGGTCTTTAACGATTATTTTACAGTTCTGTATCCAAATACGAAATATCTTCGTATGCGAGTCCGACTCGCGCTTGGCTGTTTTTTTTCCTTTTACGCCCTTTAATTGCGCCGGGATAAACTAACAGACCTTGCGCATTTTGCTTTACTTTCACACATAATGCAACCTTGCTAAAAGAAAAAAAGACAAGTCTTCCGTGTTAGACTTGTCTTTTTAAAAGGTCTAGGTACTTAGTTGCTATTATCAATGCGCGCCACAGGCTGCACAGAGACAACTTAAAGTTTTATTTACGCTACAAAAAAAATAGTATACCAAAATTCATAATCATTCATCCATCAATGTCTGTTGAGCGCGCATTAAAATATTTCCTACTTATTAACAAAATATAAGCTAGTTGACGCGGTTTTATTCACATCATTCAAATGACAAAAAACTACTTATTTCTTCGAGGACATTCTAGCCTCGCGCAAAAACGTAGCGTAAAGCCACTACTTACAAAATAAGCTACAATACAATTTGAAAAATAATCTCTTATCATGTTTATAGTTCTAGATCAGTAATTACTGATATCTTACAATACCTAATTATTTCCTATGGCATATTGTATTTTCAACTCCTGAGTTTTGAGTTCCTAAATTAACGCAGGTAGTAACTTTAAACGTTGACTCTGACCCTGAAAGCAAAATAGGCGACTTTTATAATTTTTGCACATATTAATTGAAGACAATACAATTTTTTAATTGCGTTACAAAAAGCAAAAAGGATAAAGAAAATTACTCGAAAAAATCAAAGATCCCTCCCTAGTAAACAGGGGCTCAACTCATGACCTCTCGCTATCCGGGCAACTGCTCCTTTGCATACTGGGGGCAGTTTGTTTTTTTTTTCTGAGTCCCACAAATAAATCTTAAATATTAATTACGCGAGGGAGAATCTTTACACACTTTTTTTAGCTAGGGGGACCTGTTTTCTCCTTAAAATTTTTGAGGACTACTTTTTGGAGTCAGTACTTATACAATATTTGTTTATTGGCTTTATAATTAATACCTACTATGAATTTCATTTTAGTCTACAATTTTCTATATGACTGTACTTTTCTTAATAAAACTGTCATTAACGTCCAATGCACAGATCCAATGGGCAATTGTAATCTCTGACGACCTCCGTGGCCGAGTGGTTTGTACGCCGGGTTTCATGGTGTCGCCGACTCGAGAGGTTCAAATCCCGGTGGGGGCAGATATTTGTGTGATGAATACGAGCATTTGTACTTCAGTCATGGATGATTAATATGTATTTCCATAAAAATAGGTATATTTTTGTATATGTACAGTATACGTATAATGTATATTATCCGTTACCCTAGTATCCTACAACACTAGCCTTATAGTGCTTACTTTGGGGCTAGGCTAATTGGTGTGAGTGTTTATTATTATTTAATCTTTTAGGGAGATGAATGAGGCATACTAAATATTTCCCATTATTTTTCACACAACATAAACTATTTCTTTCGATTGCTGAAGCTGATAGAGATCTACGTTAAGGTCCCGCATTACACATTTTTATTGTAAAAGAACAAAAGCCAAAATAGCGAGAGGTCTCCGAGTTCGAATTAGATAGCTATTTTTTAATATTTAAAGGAAAGCAAGCACACACTAATCTTCCTGATGGTAAGCGGTCGTGGCCTATAGACATCTGAATCTATCACACACGTCGATCATTTCGTTGATTAAACCTTTATTACTATCTGACTGGGCCTCTCAAGATTCGCCACCCATTTTTTATTTCATAAAAAGGCGCGGCCAAAATTGGGCGTGCCCTTCGCAGCCTAACACCTCGGGCCATGACCCTTTTGCGCCTTACCCTTTACACTTTTGGGTAAATATGGCACTGATTATACAAGCTTTTTCTACTACACTGAGATATGAAGTAATTTTATCAGTGGCGGCTTTACCCATAGTTATAGTATGCATTGCACAAGGACGCAGCGGTCTGGGGGGACGCCAAGCATCACTCGCCACCACTACATTTTGACTGCGGGCGTACTAGAGGGCGCGATGTTAATAATTGCACACGACCCCCTCAGGTTCGAGTGGTCTAGTAGAGACTCCAGACGGAGAGGAGATTTCCCCCGTGGTGAGATGCCATCCGCCTGGAATACCTCTAGAGGCACTCGCCAATTCTGCGCTTGAGGTCCCCTTAGGATCTCGCCGTCCCCAAATCCAGTGACGCTGTAAAGGTCATTTGCGACCAACAGATACCACACTCAAAAAAAAAGATTGCATACGAGCGCTACAAGGGCCAGACGCCTCAGAGTTTTATTGATAAAAAAATATATTATTATTAGGTATTTTAGTTTTTTTTTTATTAAATTAAGTTTATTTATTCCGGAAGGTACATGGAATAATTTGGAGCTTCAAAAAAGCAATCTTGTTAGCAGATCACATTACAAGGCACGGCGTACCATAAAGTAATTATACTCCTTAATCAACTGAATTATAGGTAAGTTAGACTAGGGCTATAGAGCGGCATCTCTCTTCAACTATTACATACTACTTCTGGATAGCATTTAGGGTGCAAAGCAAATATCATGTAGGAAACGGTGTACAGCGTTTCAACACAGCCGTTCATTTATTCTTTGTATGAAATTCTGCGTTACCCACACACACGCACACACAAAATTTTCACCGTAACACAATAGTATCGCCTCGTATCCCCTTCAAGAAATACAAGCGGCGCGTAGTCAACTCGAAATACCCGCGCTTAGGTAGGTCAAAAGAAATGCAACCAAATTACTTAAGTTATTGACGCACTCTTTTAGTTAAACATATACCTGTGATAGAATGCTCGCTCTCTAGTATTAGTCCAGTGCAGTAAATTTAATTCTATAGTAGTGAATCAGGTGAATTTTTGTATTTATCTTTATTACATAGTAAGATGAAGAAAAACAAAAATCATGTATACACCTACTATTAAGCTGAATCTCATACGTCAACTTGCATAAGTTTTTCTACCTCGTCATATATAAGATTCTAAAGCCATTCAGTTAATAGGTAGATACGTCTTTCTTTCTGTCCACAATTCCACATCTATTTATCTTAAAAAAAGTGGTAAACAAGCTTAAACCATCGACAGGTTGTGTTATTTCACTGAGGTCTTCTGTAAGGTGTGTAGGTCAATTAATATGAGTACGCTCCAAACCGTGATCCGAAAATCCGCTATGTCCTGTCTTTCGTCCACCCGCTTTCGTATCTTCTACAACTGATTGAAAGTCGTTGGACAGATATCCACGAGTTGACTGTTTACCGTTAGCGGGTCGTTCCCGATAGGAACGTAGTGATCATATCTATGCCAATTGCCAACTAGGTATGGTCCTCTCATTGCATACTAACCTGTGAAGACGGGCGGCGAAGTGATAAGGTGTACCAACCTTTAATGAGTAATTAGAGCCTATGCAAATAATATCGGATCAGAAACTGTTCAGCACCGCTATGCCCTCGAGACGACACGATATCGTTAATGTGCAATAAAACTAGGGCTGCCATCTCTAAAATGTAGCAACCAGGATAAGACGCGTGATAACCCCGGATTTTGAAGCCCAGAACCCGGACAGACCAATAAAAAAACAGTTAAAAATGTCACAAATCAACTTTTTTATGTTGATCTAGGCAAAAGAGCTAGCGGTCTACCTCATAATAAGTGGTCACTGCTGCCCATGGACACTTGTAGCACCTAGGGCCACTCATGCGTTGCCGTAAATTTTTAAACCCGGACTACAAATAAAACCCCGCCCGGACGCTCCCCGGACGCCCCATAAACTAGGACAAATCCGGGGAAACCCGGACGGATGGCAGCCCTAAATAAAACATACTGAACGGATAAATTTCACATTCCTATCCAATGTGTCACAAACTTAAAACGCCACCTGTTACCTTTTTTTGATATCTGGAAAAGGCGTTTCGTCTCCCTGTACCACCGGGATTAGCGCAAACAGGGTAGGTACCTGAAGACTCCTCTCCGCTCATTTCACCCAGCCCAGGTAAAAACCAGATAATACTCTTGCACCGGTCTCCCGGCCCGCATTCTGAGGACCTCAGCCCCCATTATGCGCGTCGGGAGTGCGGGTGGTGTTGCGGCATATAGTATACTGGCGAACACACGCCATCCTTGATACCCTATCTATCCCACTAGTCCAATTACCTAGTCCCAAGATGGGAAAATAGAGGTAATTAAATTAATAATTATTCGATTCGAATAAATAATATAACTTTATTATTATTTTATATAATAAAACTAAGTTGATAAAATGTGCGTTCCGATAAAACTTAAAAAGGAATCCCGGCACGATAAAGGGACTTATATAGTGTGATAGCCCTTTATCCCCCCTCGAACAATAAATTTCCCGTTTTAACTTAAAGAGCGTGTTTTTAAGATATAAGGGCTTTTCCAACCCTGCAACTTGGAAATTAAGAGTAGTGGCGCCATCTGTTGTCGAGTATTAGAACTTCAAGAAGGTGTGAGAAAGTAGAATACCACTGATCTCTTCTGAATTGCCATTTCAATTTAAAAGATTGCAGTTTTCAATTAAATCAGCCTTTAGTTTTACAATTAACAAAGCGCAAGGGCAAACTTTTAAATATTGTGGCATCAACCTCAAAGAATCCTGCTTCTCTCATGGTCAGTTTTACGTAAGCTTGCTTAAGAGTAGGAAATTCGAAAAATTTATATATAATACCCCGGACAATAAAATGAAAAATTTTGTTTATAAACAAGTAGTATACATAATGAGAAAATATTTTCAAAATTTTTTTTTTACTTTTTACGTCAATTTTATTTTTTTATTTCAACTACCACGTAATCTCATATCAACTCCCGAGCGAAGCCGGGTATCTAGCTAGTCTTTAAATATATCTTTTAAAATACAATACTTAATATATATGAATATATCAAGTATTGTATTTTAAAAGTATACGTATAATATACATACATACTACACTTATAAAATACCTACAATACTTACCTTTCTACAAAATACTTCAAAATTTCTTATGAGCACTTTTAGCATTAATTTCCCATATAGTATAGGGAGACCCTTACTGACTGTCGATTCTACCAAGTTAACTTATTATTTGCGTCTCATTGATGTTTGATTTGCGTTGATAACAAAAATACGAAATAATAAATTACTAGCAAACCAGTGAACCAAATGTTCACCAAAAAAAAAAGTATTTAATTAATTGAGAACTTCGGAGATTTTGTGTGGTTTCGTTTGTAATAGAAATCACGTGATTTCTCGAAAACCGGAAGTGCTACGTTACTCACATCCGGTTTGTAGTCTTATCAGACTATTCTTAACTTATAACTTAAACATTCTCTATATCTATCTCTTACGGTTTGGCCGCTGAAACAGCACCACGGACGGACGGACGGACTTGTCTATTAGATAAGAGATTGGTTATGTAAAAACAAACAACAAAGAAATAAGCAAATAATTCTACTTGTTATTTTTGTTTGAGTAAACTGGACTGCCTTCAAAAAAGTATAGTTTCCCTTCATATTATCAACTACTTGTCACTTTGATAAGCATTGAATTTAATCGGTGTCCGAATACGCCCGGGACTTATGTCGGTAACATTTAATTTATTATTAAACATTCCTGATTAAATTTTCTGACTATTATTATAATACATACATAGCTTCACACCATATCCCTTACTAGATGGCATTAAAATGTATCAGCCTCAAGCCGATTAAGAATCTTTAAATACATAGGTAAAGAGGTCTTCACCTATTTTCCAACTATTGTTCTCTTAACACGTCGAATTCTACTGCTAATGAGAAAATTGGCAGGTGACACGTTGGTAGGTAATGTTTTTGTTTTTGCTGCATGAGAGTTAACACATATGCGCAAGCACGAAATTCGACAGATTCGTAATCGTACTGCATCGTCAGAGTTTCTATGAAAACTAAGCAGCGCCTCTGCTTAGTGTTCATAGAAACTGACGCCTCGGACGTAAGAACAAACTAGCTTTTTCCATAGAAAATTTGACGATGACGATACGATTACGGATTTACCAAAATTCATGCTTGGACCTCAAGAAACTTGTATGTAATAATACGTAAGTGGGTATAATATATACAATTAAATAAGGATAAGACATGTAATCGACAAAATAACAAACAAATATAAAAAATGCTCTTTATATTCACTAATGACTTCCACATAGTACAATGTTGTACACAATGATAACAAGCATGTCTGTAATGATTAAAATAAAAACAGAAGCCTTAATAATTTCGACCTTACCTGATTTCAATTTTAGGTTATACAGCAATGCGATTTTCTAACTACCCTTCTTAGCCTGAAAAAAATAAAGCCAATGTACACAACTATCATGACTCAAATTGAGGCTTCTGCTTTTGTCCTAATGTAACCACGATACAGTGACATAGTAACAGATTTGATGCGAATGTGACTCCATAGTTAAAATCGCCAAGTGCAATAATTAAAGAATAGGTCTTAGGAATAAGTAGGTATTATTTAAAAATTGGGACTAGGTAAGTAACAAGACGATAATGGCACTAATCTATGACAGCTAGGTATTAATTACATTAAATAATGACTGTTTTTAATGTATAATTGAAAAGGTATTCTCGGGTTGGATATGCATTTCTCATTAATTAAATTTTGATTCAGATTATAAATATGGACTGTCACGACTGTAAATACTTTTGTTTACATTTTAAAATCGAAAGTAAGCTTGTCATAGTTTGTTATTGAATAAGAATATTCAATATCAAGGATTCTCCTTATTATTATCTAAACCTATAAAACTTTTAGAACAATCTTAAAAAAACTTCTATCAATTTCTAATTTAGACTAGAAGAAAAAGTATGTAGGTAAGAATATCCATATTTTCACTACTTCATTACAAACTATGATCATCATTCACACATACAGTGAATAGTGCGATGGATGTCATAAACATTATTTTCGAATGGTGTACAATGGTGTTTGAACTATGGCGGGATTTACACTACCCAATTTTAAGGGACCCGATCTAAGACGATCGGCGCGGAGTAATAATTGCTAACACCCGAGCTACACGCCAAGTTCACCCTTTCGATAGGGCCCATAAAATTGGGTAGTGTAAATGACTGACTTCTAGGGAGACCAAGTGCTTCGATATATCGATATATACATATATAGAAGTCGGGTAAATATCAATATCCGATGTATTGACCATGCTAACGCAATAATATCGATATTACAGTTCCAATTTTTATAGCTCTGTAATAATAAGTATGCATTTTTTTTTTGCAATTACGATATATTTATCGATACTACTTTGCGTCACCACTAATATGATTAAGAACCGCTGTTCTTCTAAAGTCTTGTGTTACTGGGTTGAGTAAAGTACCTTAAGCTATTAAAGATATACTTACTACAGCATAAATCTCCTAACCTGTCGTTTTTAGCATAGGTTCGACGCAAAATGTTCGGAAACCAATTGTATCATCGTATTGCTCGCCCATCTCCTACATTAGTTTCTGCAGAAGTGACCGACACCTGTTTTAACTATTTAGAAAGGAAAGTTTACAGCTGGCGAATTAAATGCTTTTCTTTCGCTCCCAGACACTGCTTTCGATGAATTATAATAATGCTAAAAAACATTTGCTTTCTTAAGACTAATCTGTCTTTAGATTACAGGACTGATGTGATACATACATTTACCTTTAAAAGTTTGCGTGTGTTTTTGCAGTTTGCGTAGCTATATATATATAATTTCGCAACAACGATATTGAAATACCATCACCATTGTACACACACATTTGAAAATATTGTTCAGCAAACAAAGATATAGTGACGACATTTCACTTGGCCATTCGTGTTTGTTATTTGTAAACTTCAATCAATCAATCTTTTCATTCTTTGTAAAGCTTGATAAGGACAGACTCTTGTCAAGTTTACAAATAGCAAATACGAATGGCCAAGTGAAGTGCCAGCATAAAATAAGGATATTGTTCAGTTCGTTTAAAAACTGAAACAACAACATGACTCTTAGTATCAAAAAGCCACATATTTATAAGAGAATAAAAACAAAAGTTCATTACAAAAGTAACCGAACTCGAAAAATTTAAGTATTTCTTTGTAAAAACCTATATTATTAAGTTAGGTAAAACTAAGTTAACCCAAATAAACTACCAATACTTCGGACTTGATTTTGACAATACTCTCTAAACTCTTAAAACTAATTTGACATCAGTGTCTCCATTTCATTCTGCATGACAAGGATACTACTGTTGTCGAGTTTAATTTTAGGTTTGGAGAATAATGAATAATCGGGTCCTTTATAGTATTAGTGACCTACACTTCTTTAAGGATGAGTATTTGATTTTAATTATACCAATAGGTATATGATTTATAAATCCTAAATATGCGACTTTTTTGAGTAAAGAGATATGCGATAGTGCAGACAGGAATGCGACAGAGTCGAGTTGATCGGAACACTGGTGAGGCACTTCACTCGGGTCACAGAGAACATTTGGGCGCCGACTGTTTCCTAGAATATTAGTGAATCGTTATTATCTACTGCTGGCGTACGGACTAGTGATGCCTCTTTATCGATAGTCCGGCAGTATTGGTAATATCGATGGTAATGTGCTAATATTATTTGTCAGTATATTTATGTCATTTTCGTTCCTGACGAATAAACTGACTATTAAATATGAACTAGAATATCAATAGTAGGTACCACTGTAAATATCATAATGTGGGTTAGGGTGTTACCAGACCGGTCGATCGATGGCAGAATGGATTGATGAGTCAAAGTCTATGGATCTGCTTGATCGGCCACGACGCGCGCCGAAAGCTCTAGATTTTAACGATCAACTTTGATCGACGTTGACTGATATCATGGATCGATTGGTTAGCCGAATGGTTAACGTCGATCGATTAAAGCTACCAGACCAGTACCCTTAGTACGAGTTTCACAAATACGAAAACTATGATAGTTTTCTTGAGCTCAAACTCTACTAAGGATACAGTTGATCAACTTCGATTGGTTTGGTCAGGCAGGTCAGAAGGAAAATAATTTCGGTGGTATCAATAGCGTGAATCTGATATCTGCCAAACCTTCAGACTATCCGATACCATTACCTAAGTACCACAGTAAAGTATATTTTTACACTATCGATTTACTTATTGATTTTCAAGGTCTATCGATTGTTCGGCATCACTAGCGGACACATTGTTACTGGTTACATAGCAGTAGCAGGCATCACAAGTCTAATTTGCAAACACTCACTACAATTATCACTTGACAGGGTTTCATGAAAGTGCCGTGATCTGAAATGTGAACTTTTGCAGGAACATTTTTAAAACGGCATCAACCTTGTGTATTCCTTACTTACAACTATTTTTAAAGGCTAAAAACTGGCAAAGGGTGTAGGAATCTAAAAGATTGTTCCCGACATAAAAAAATATCCTGCATAGATATGGTGTGATAAAAAACAAAGACCGCCGTTCCCGTGAAAATGAGCTTTATTATAATAGAAGATATGTAAGAAACAAAAAGTACAAAACCGCACAATGTTAACATGCATATAAAATAACAAACAGCAGCATGTTAGTAAAGTTTGTATAAGTATATAATATATACAATATCCTTGTTGAATTTTAATATATGCTAATATTCTTTGGAGCAAATCTGTAAAATAGCAGATATTAAAGAATAATATACAAATCAAAGTAAGGAAAAGAAAGTTAAGACTATTTTATTGATATTTATTAAAAGCTGCTTCATATGGCGAGTTACGGCAAATATTAAGTGTATAGATAAAATCAATAACTATATAATAACATATCATCTTTACCTTACAATTAACTAGGTTAAAATATATAAATAAAATATTTTTGTACTTATAGGCTAGTTTGGACTCGACAACACCAATAAAAGTTATCGCAACAAGCACTTGAATATGTTCATTTACACTGCAACTACTAGCCCCGATGAGATAACAACTCTTTGGTTGGCAAAATTGGTTAGCCTTTATGACAGTTAATTCATCAACAAAGATAAAACTACTATCGCCTATTAAATATTAGCAACAACTGGTCATAATTCAACAGCGAGTGTCAATTACGTAAGTATACAAAAGTTTCACATGCTTATCTTGAGGCAGTGGCACCAATGACAGACATTTTTAGATCATTGGTTCAAGGCGGTGATTGGTGCCACTACTTTACTACACTACGAATAACATGACTGCATAGTAACTATTAATAATTAGTTAAAGTGTACATTTACTCCTAATATTTAAAACAATTCGTCTTTTTGTACACAGCCCTTTAATAAAAGTTTAATCAACAATAACAATTAGTAAACATTTGATAACAAAAAATTGCAATATTTATTGAATGCATAAAATCTTCTGCATCGTCAACAATAAATATTAACATGACAAAATATTAAGCACGATAGAATTCGTCATTCAAAATAAAATATAGAAAAATTAACATTGTAAAAAATCATATTGCAGCTGTAATTGGTCTGTTTAAAAACAAACTGTATAACGCACCAATTTCACTGCATTTACAGTTGCCATAGCGATTCCTTATCTAACTAGAAGTTTAGCTAAAAAGCGCGGAATCAATAGATCTACTTCCTAATATAACCCTTATCGACCCAAGTGCAGTCATGTATTCATATTGGTCAGATACGTATAGATAACCACTATATAAGTACTAGCACCCTGTAAAATAAACATACATACGGTGTTGGTTATGTACACATGTTATCAATCTAATCTACGTTTGTAAGTAAGGCTAGGCACTAAGTTCTAGTGTAAGCTAAGTCGGAAGGAAGCAGATGCAAGTAGTTGCTTACATGTGCTCGGGGTGGCTGCGGATGCAGTCTATGAAATCGTTGGGCTTCAATTCACCTCGGCATATGCGGTACACGGCGGTAAATAATGGGAACCTACAAATGAGAAATAATTATGTTATTGAATTGTCAAAACACTTTTTATATGGGTAGATAGCGCGATATAGGTACTGAATGTTACTTTTCTTCTTTAGGCAATTAATTTAAAATTTCAACTACATATTTATATCATACAAATAAATTTACGAAAAGATATTGTTGATATATAATCAAACTTGATGGAAGTTGTATTGATATTGTAGTGTTGTCGAAGGACAATACAAAATAGTGATATGCAGGTGACACAAGATTTAAGTACTTGCCAAAATGGGTAACTACGTAATTGATTCCTTATGCAATATCGTATGAGTGCAACATAATATTCTAATTATGCCGTACAACCAGTTTCGTAAGCACAATATACTTAACCAGACGTTTGAACATAGTGAGAAAAAGAAAGAAGAAATACTTGCAAACCATTATCAACATCATTCTACTAATATTGTATATTTTGTAACTCAATCACGCAAAATCGACCGAATGGATTTGGGTAAAATTTGACACACGTATAGACATTAATATTTATCATATGTTGAGACAAAGGTTACTTTTAAATACTTATCCCGTAAAAATGTTAAACCAAAGTAACCCGGATGAATAAGCGATAGGCGGAAGCTAGATAGACCTAAGCTGAGTGAGACGATAGAAAAACAAGTTTTCTATTGACACGCGCGGTTAGTTGACCAATCAAGGAAATCGCATAATAAAGGCGATGAGTCAACCGCAGCGCGTAGATCTAATAGCGGGTGGCGTCACCTTAAATGATGTTTATGTAAATTAAGTCTGGATATCTATGAATGAAGGTATATTTTGCGATCTCCGTGGCCGAGTGATTTGTACGCCGGGTTTCATGGTGTCGCCTACTCGAGAGGTCCTGGGTTCGTATCCCGATGGAAGCAGATGTTTGTGTGATCAATACGAGCATTTGTACTCCAGTCATGGATGTTTAATATGTAATTTTATATAAATATACTTATATATGTACAGTATATGTATTCTATCCCTTACCCTAGTATCCCATAACACAAGCCTTATAGTGCTTACTTAGGGGCTAGGCTAATTGGTGTGACTGTTGGAAATATTTATTTATTTATTTATATGATATTGATAGCTAACTTTTTGAAAGGTGTTCTGTTTGTCAGTAGAGCAAACCAAATTACTAGTCATTAGGTAGGAAAATATATTGGACGATTCAAAAGAGCTTTCAATAAGTCAATTTGAATAAAGTATCATTTCATTTCATTGTGAATACTAACAAAACTATTATAATAAATAAATAATAAATATTCCAATTAGCCTAGCCCCAAAGTAAGCTCTATAAGGCTTGTGTTATGGGATACTAGGGTAACGGATAGAATACATATACTGTACATATATAAGTATATTTATATAGAATTACATATTAAACATCCATGACTGGAGTACAAATGCTCGTATTCATCACAGAAACATCTGCCCCCACCGGGATTCGAACCCGGGACCTCTCGAGTAGGCGACACCATGAAACCCGGCGTACAAACCACTCGGCCACGGAGGTCGTCAATTATTAATTTAGCTGTATTGTTATTTCTCAAAAGCAGGAAATATATTAACATGGCTCTACATGAAAACATTTACTGTAATTTTAGTTAGTCGGGTCAGTCTTGTTTTGTGGTGGAAAAGTTTTACAAGTCAACACCTAGGTACGACGTGCGTTCGATGTAAATACATAGCGAAAACAAAACGCAAAAACATGCGAAGTCAATATAAAACTTCCCGCGGGCGAGCAGTGCGAAAAACCGGTAAGACGTAATACATTATAACAATAAAACTCAAATAGAGCACTAATATTAGCCGGTACAACCCGATTAACTCGCGAATTTAGTCAACTAGCGGTATAAATGTTTTCTCTACTTCCAGTCACTTAGGCCCGAATTACAGAATGACATTAAGTGTTGATCTTTACATGAGTACAGTTAGAAAGGCATGTCGCTATGTGCTATATATAGCGACATCCCTTTCTTACTATGCTCAAGACTAGATCAATCACTGAGAATCTTTCTGTAATACAGGCCTTAGTCAGTGTATGAGCAAGCGCGTACATCATCACATCAGCACATAGTTGACCTAAATTACCTATTCATAATTAATTTTATTGCACAAAATCGCTAATTCGCAATTATGAACTCTTCAAGTCGCGCGTACTCATAGCAATTATTATTATAGTTATTTTTAGTACTATTTCCAAATATACAGTTTCATACTTTTTATCAGTTTATCATTAATTAATTCCAACCCGAACAATCAGTTTTGTCTATTGTGTTATGGAGACAGGCTATCTGCTTTACCTCGAAAACTACACGCACTTTGCCCTATAATAAACTTTGAGTACAAAATTAAGAAAGTCATTGTAAAAGGACGTATTTGTTTACCGACCTCAATTTAAAGCATAAAGATGTAATAAGCGTCAAATTAATAATAACCACGTAATATGAGTTAGATACTCAATTAATGGCAAATGAAATTAATGATAAAGTTTTATGGGTCTAAATAGCTATTTCAAAACAAAAACAGTTTATTAAAAACCTGGCATGTTTTAACGTAACAGCAGGCCAATTATGCTCGCTAATTGTGATATTGTTTTGATGTCTATTTCACATTACGTATTATGCTCTCCGAAAAATGTGATATCAAAATGACATCAACTTATGCTATGATGATGATCAACTCTATAAAATGATATCAACTTAAATGCGTATTACGTTCAACTTTTTGACTTAAAATAGTATCGCATAAACGTCAAAAATGTGATACAGGATATGATATATTGATATGATCTTGATGTGACATAGGAATGTTTCATAATACCATATAAAAACAATGTCAACTTGGCATCAACATCATATTGACATCACATTAGAATTTTATTACTGAAGCATAATTGACCCGCTGGCTGTTATCTTAATTTGAAACAGCATTTTTATGTATACGTTGACCTCTGAATGCGTGGATATTGGCCAAGACGATCTATTTTAGTGTAGTCGCGATTCAATAAAATGGAAGTAGAAATTATTGTACCATGATAAAGCTGTACTAAATGATACTCATGATAAAATTCGATCAGTTACACAACAGCTGTAATAAACAACTGCTTTTTATTAGTTTATTATTCTTTCTTTAGATATAAAAAGTGCAGCTAAAATCAGTAAACGTGTAAACGAATACTTTTACCTACATCGTTTTTTTTAACAAATAACTACAACTAAGAGTTGTAGTATCATCAATTTTCATTATCTAATATCTATTGCAGGATTAGTTTTAGTTATCACTTATCATCCGCGTAATAAACATGTCAATAAATTGAAATTATTGCATTACACAACTCACGATGATAACTAGAGTGTTGCATAAACTTATAGGTGGACATAAGGTGAAGGTTAAATTTCTCTCGTTTTTCAGACTTTTCTGTATAACATCTAGGGTTACCAACTTTTTTTCTATCAAAAATAGTATTTTCGATATCTCTAAACATATAGTGGATGACAAAAAAAAAATTGGTTGTATTGGATATTGATGAAAAGTATGTGGTTAAAATATTTACTTTGAAATGAGTATATTTTTGATGCTCTATACCTTAATACTTCAGTCTTTATTTTAAGAAAGCTTTTACTGGCAAAGGTCTGCTTTAAGCCAAATATAATAGTTTCGCCTAATATATTTTTTTAGAAATAAAATATTTGATCCCCTAATATAGTAGGGTACTATATTATAGAGTTGGCAACCCTAGTTACACCTGCTATCTATCGTACACAAACAACAGAGTTAAAAATACTCTCAGCTATCTTATACAATGATATTTTAGCAAACCCCAAATTAAATTGAATTAACGAAGAGATGGAAAATTTTTGGTCACCCATCCGATGTACGGCCACTGTGAAAGTTGCTTCACCTCCACTATCGGAGACTAAAGGCGTTCACTGCCGAGCCATAAAGATCCTCATACTAAATATTTATATTATTTGACTAAACAACAGGTTACAATAGCGCATAAAATTTACGCGACGTGCACCAGGAAGTATAATAAAAAAGACATATTACGTTGCTTGGTTGGTTCATGTTTGAAAAAAATTGACGCTAAAATTAAATTAGCAGCTATATTGTAATGTAACCGAATATTACATTGTTCATCATTAGTTCGTAAATCTTTTAGTCTTAATCAAATGCAGATATTGGTAGCGGCAAACTTCTTGAGCACAGACAAATAAACTTGCGCAGTTAACGTAGCTTTTTGTATGTAAAATTGCAGGCTTACTCGTCTATGGTCGTTACTCAAGAACTTTTTTTTCTATAGACCTGCAGTCATTATTGTGACTATATCTTGTTCTAGCCAAAACAATAAGCACGTATTGCATGTACAGAGCCAATTACATAATTTTAAAAATAATAATCCACTCACTTGTTCTCCATGTTTTTGTTGGCGAGCATGTAGTTGACTTCCTCTGCGGTGATTGGTCCCTGCAGTTTCTGTCCATTGAGCATTTCATCTTCTAACTCCTTGATAGAGCGACCAGTCTTCACAAATGCTTCTGCCACACGCCTATTCCTGCCACCTAGAATTTCATCATCACCATCAACCTATCGAAATCCCCTTAGTTTGGGCATAGAACTTGCATTACGGATAATATCACATATTCCTATGTGAAAGAGAAAATGGTTAAACTTCTGTATATAAAGTTGCCGGAAAATACTGTTGGTATGCCTGCTTTAATATATCCAAATCTTTCGAATGTTTCCACTGCTGAGTCAGAAGCCTTGCCAACGCACATACGAAAACGAGCCACGAACCTACGCTACGTGGCCCGTTTTCTGTGAGGGCCAAATACGGATAGTTATTTCTAAAAACTGAACATGAAGACGATTCCAAAGCAAAGGTTTTATGTGCCTTACAAAACACAGAAGAAGGAGGAGCTCGAGATATAACAATTTAGGGGCATCCAATGAACGACCTTTGCATCAGTTGTTTACCATACACAAACGTTGGTTAAATACGCTAACAACTATGCCACCGTCTTCTACTATTGTTATCAAAATATATTTTTGTATTATTTACTTATATTTTATTGCCAATGTGTCTTTCTCGCCTGAAGGGAGAGCCTGTGCCCCTGCAGAATAGACATTGTTAGGCAAATGATGATATATTTATATTTATTGGTAAGGTAATTAATTTGTTACTTGAATAGGAGTGATACAGAAAATCAGAAATATGTCATGAATCTTTGCTATATTTATGAGCTTATTTATTATGAAGGAAATGTGGAAGTCCGCGTGTAATTGGCTCAAGTCATTATATCAAGCAATAATATCAACAAGAGCTTAATTAAAACTATTTATGTCGACTTTACCTACCATCTAGGTGAAAACAACCAATTAACGATCAATCATCATAATATACCAACATCAATTGATATCAAGGAAAATATCAAATTGAACAACATTACCTATATAATAATCTACTCATCTCGGTTAAACAACACGGTGTTTTCAAATTCAGAATTTTCCAGGGCCTTGATAGCTGATAAGTTTTAAGTGGATCACTAACTTAAAAGTTAATTAAAACATTAAAATGTAAATGAAGTTAAATAGCCTGTAACGATTTTTTAAATCTAACACATACAAAGAGTTTCCAAGGCGGTTCCAACAATTACCTAGGTAAAGTATTTGGCCACTTTGTTCGGAATTGTAACTTCGGACCGAATGCGTAATCAACAAAATAAAATTGAATTTATTAACTACTTGCGGCCGCCCGCGACTTCGTACGCGTGGAGATAGTTAGATATAAAGGTTCACTGCTCGTTCCCCATAGATGATAGCGTTATAATAAGTAGCCTATATGTTGACCTGACTTCTATTCATTAATTCGAATTCGAATAATATTCTTGCCAAATTTGAAGTAAATCCATGGAGTACTTTTTGAGTTTATCCCGGACATACATACAGATAAACAGACAAAAACTCTAAAAACTATATTTTTGGCTTCAGTATCTATTGAAGATCACACCCCAAGTATTCTTTTAAAAAAATATTCAATGTACAGTTTTGACTTTCCTATCATTTTATTATATGTATAGATTTTTAATTAGCTATGACTCATTACCATATCAGCCTGTCAAAGAACTGCTATCAAGAACAAGATTTATCCAACACAAGTCAATTTTAAAACGTGTTCGCTAAATCAGCACCTTTGGACGTAGGTATCATATGGCATAGGGAAACCTCACCAAGGTCACTATTGTCACGGTTTCATCTTTAGAGAACACGTGCTTACTTACTCATATGCTTGCAATAACAACATAGTATTTAGTTTCGAACGTTTTTAGAGCAAAGATAAACAAAGAGGTAGATAAGCCTGGCTATAGTTGACGGCCTGCGTGGCCGAGTGGTTTGTACGCCGGGTTTCATGGTGTCGCCAACTCGATAGGGTCCCAGGTTCGAATCCCGGTGGGAGCAGATTTTTGTGTCATAAATACGTGCATTTGTACTCCAGTCATGGATGTTTAATATGTATTTCTATATATGTATATATACTTATATAATACAGAATTTATATTCTATATGTTACCCTAGTATCCCATAACACAAGCCTTAGATACTTTGGGGCTAGGCTAATTGGTGTGAGTGTTGGAAATATTTATTTATTTATAGCTTAGTAGTACCTAATGGATATTTTAAGAGCCTTTATAGAAGGCAACTATTAACACAGAACTTAAACTACTGAACAGATTGTGCTGAAATTTGGCACGTAGCTAGTTATAAAGACGTACCTAGGTATCCGCTAAGAAAGGATTTTTCAAAACGAAGATCCAAAGTTTGTACGGAGAAACAAGAAGAAATAGACCTTTTTTCGAAACTTCACTTGCACAGAAGTACTATATAGTTCGTCGAGAATTCACAGAAGTAAAAAAATAACTAAGCTAAGTAAATATAATTACGCTAAGGTAAGGAATACAAATATACGTGTTTCAGGCTTCTTCAAAATTCAACCCCTCAAAACGTGATATGGAGTACCTAGCATAGATTAAGATACAATGTGGCAGTTGTGCTTATTCACATTTGATGCAATTTCTAAGTGTCTAGGTACTACTTAAAATTTAACGTTGACAGGCGCAAGAACAACTATGACGATGTTACTAAAGCTCTCTCGCAAGTTTTGCAATGGTTTAATGTTAATAATCTAAAGCTAAATGCTAATAAAACCAAGTGGATTAAATTTTCTTTACCTAATGTAAAAGTTGAACATATTGGAATTAAATTAAATAATAATAAATTAGATTTAGTAGACTCAACTACATTCTTGGGTATTACTATAGACTCAAAACTGCAATGGAATCATCACATTACGCTTTTGGCTGGTAAACTTAGTTCAGCAGCTTATGCCATAAGAAAGATAAGACAACTTACAGATACTGCCAGGACTGTATATTTTAGTTGCTTTCATAGTATCTTATCATACGGCATTATACTCTGGGGAACAGCAGCTGATATTGAAAGTATATTCATTCTACAAAAAAGAGCTGTGAGATCTATTTATCAATTGAGTAGCCGAACATCTCTTAGAGAAAAATTTAAAGAAATTGGCATTTTGACTGTTGCTTCTCAATTCATTTACAATTGTATACTCCTTGTTAAAAATAATATCAATTTCTATACCAAACACAGTAACGTGCATAATTTTAACACAAGGAATAGAAATAAGCTTGCATTGCCACCCTACAGGTTACAGAAGGTTTACCGATCTTTTATGGATCAAGGTATACATTTTTATAATAAAATTCCTAATGCCATTCTTGAGTTACCCATAAATGAGTTCAAATGTCACATTAAAAATTGTTTACTTAAGAAAGGCTATTATACTATTAAAGAATACTTGAATGTCAAAACTGCATGGCTGTAACTGCAAATTTATTTGTATTTGTTTGCAGTGTCATACAGATAAATTAACTTAATTCTAAGTAACTATTTTAGTTTGGTTTGAGTGGTTATGGGTAGTCATGCTCTCTTAAAAATCTCTTCGGCGGTGTCGTGTGGGGCGGGTCGTTGCGTTCCCTACAATATGGTTGAGCGAAACGATGGCTGGTTCATGCGTCATGCTCGTGAACGGGTGCTGCCAGCGGAGATGAGTCTGCTCTATACTACTTTATTATTATTATAATGATAATTAATTATTTAAATTAAATTTTATTTGTAATTGTATTTATACTGTATGGCACAGCAATCAAAATTTAGGTGAACATTTATTATTTCTGAGATAAAGATTTAATGGTGGTGTGGATTCTGGCATGGTTCTCTAGACCTGAACTTTGGTTTTGCAGCGGTGTATCCTTGTCATTCTCTATACAGAGTGAAGGGGGGGGGCACAGATGTTGGGTTTGGTTTTGGGTTTGGAGAGTAGTGGCAGAGTCGACACTAGTGTTTAGGTAATCACATGCATGTGTCCTACAGTTGTGTTTATAGTTTTTTATAGTAATGTACACTGGTACTTAATTTTTTTTCTTTTTCCCTATTTTGCTATCTAGTTTCCATATGTGGTTATGGGTAGTCATGCTCTCTTAAAAATCTCTTCGGCGGTGTCGTGTGAGGCGGGTCGTTACGTTCCCTAAAAAATGGTTGAGCGAAGCGATGGCTGGTTCATGCGTCATGCTCGTGAACGGGTGCTGCCAGCGGAGATGAGTCTGCTCTTGCTACATTGGGTACTATTAATCGTTGTATTTAACTTTAATGGTTCATTTGTTTTTATGCCTAAACAGTAGGACATGGCATTCCTAATTTTTTTTATTTTTAAATCTGTTTTTTATATTTTTTATTTTATACTCATAATTGTTTTATCATTTACATTTGTAACGGAAAGTGACTTCATGAGTTATCTCATATTGAAGTCATTTTTCAAATTGAGGACTCTGTATATAATACAGGGAGAAAAAAACAGCCTTTGCTAAGTTTCTTGCCGGTTCTTCTCAGTACAAGGTCTCCCACCGTAGATTTGCGAACCGATGGCGTAGCTTTTCGACATTCAAAAGTGCTTGTAACAGCCTAGACTGAATAAACGATATTGAATTTTGAATTTTGAACTATTTTTTTTTTACATAAAATAAATGATTTTTTTCCCCAGCTGTTATGAAAAGGAAGCCGAAACTACGTAGCTAGTCAAAATTATTAACGTTTACCTCGAGTAGCTCTCGTCTTTATCTAATCTCCGACGATTATGTTGGTAAATGCCGGCCGCACGGTGAGTGTGCTCATATCTAACCATTAAATAGATAGGTTTACCCATAAAGAGATTGACGAAAAACTTTCAACCAGGATATTGTTATATAGGACAACAAATATTTTTACAGGCACACACTACTCCTTTAAATAGACTTTAGGCAACTTTTTAAAGGGAAATTATCAGATCCTATCATGTTGCATTAATAGGCCATTCGTCTGTGGGACTTGGACTATTACGTATTCTGTGCTGTTAGTGTAATAGGTAGGCAATCGAAATGTTCACAGAATATAATTCTATGCTCTTATAACAACAAAAGGTAAAAACTATCTCCACCTTGGATCTCACCGTTTATTTATTACCTAAACAAACAACGTGATATTTTTGAAGTGAAACTTCTATAGGCACGCTTGACGTGGGGGGTAAACTGGCGAATGCGTTACGAGTTACGCGTTACGATTAGTGTCACCGGTAACTCATCGGTAAACAATGAACAAAACCCGTCACAAAATACATGAATCTAGTGCTAACTCACATGTCTACTTGATGTTAACTATTGAAATAGGTTTTTTAATTGATTACCTACGTAATTTATCAATAATCAATAACAATTTAGTATTTTACTATTAATTATACGTCATTGAAATCCGCCGTATATTTATTTTTTTCTATCAATAAATCTTCAGGTTAAGTTTAGGAGTCTTTTTTTTTATCAATGAAAACATTTAACAAAATTGAAATATTTCTAGAAAATTAATATCTGTGTATGTACATACATATATATATTATGCACAAATATATATTTATAGATGGAGCTACAGAAGTTTCACTTCAGTCATGTGGTCATAAACACACTCGCTTTTTTTATGTTTCACTTACACCGGTACAGAATCTTATGTCTGCAAGACCGGCTCACATTATATACCACTATTTTTTATCGTCCACCATAGTGTCGTATTGATATATAGGGCTAAATTATCTAAACAAGTTACACATCACTTACCATAGCATGTGGTGACGAGGTCGGCGACCCCGCACGATTCGAAAAACGTGCTCAGTTTGCTGCCCGGGTAGAATACGTCGACGAACTTGATCATCTCCATGAGCCCGAGACGGATCACAGCTGCCTTGGTGTTGTCGCCGAATCCCAAACCATCGACGAATCCAGCACCCACCGCTACAATGTTCTATAAACATGTGCCTAATTTAATATGGCGGTTGCACACTTCTTGAATTCGAAAGCCGACTACGGAGAACATTTGCCTTGAAAAGGTAGAACAATATCTTTTATTTATTCTACTCCATGATAGTGTGGCCATAAATACTTGGACCGAAATAACAGACGAAAGCCGGAAAAGTCGGACATATAAGTGTTCTGCTGGAGTCGTCCCAAAAAGCCATCAAAAGACACGTTTTTTATCGCGTCTAACTGTAAAACTCCATAGTAATTTGACAATTAAGCGTTATAAAAACGCGTTATATATCATATCGCAGTGCTCATGCTAGGGTAGGCACGTATGAACTTATAGCTTGTTATATAGCCTACACTACAGTCAAAGAAACTAAGGCGATAAATACTTTGAGCTCGATCAATTTAACTGAAAGAATCATTGAAAACAATCTTAAGAATTATTATCGAATAAAAGATATGTAGAACTCTTTTGGCTGTTAAAAGTTTTTGGATTTTCTTTTGACGTGATAGAGGTGGCGAACAAGCGTATAGTCCGCATAATGGTAAGTGAAAGCCAAAGCCTATAGAGTATAGACGCTTACGATACCGAATTATCACTTGTGCCAAATTCCCTGAGGGTGATTAATTTATAATCTTGGACAAGAAGTATCGCATAGTTAATTAAGCTGTCGCCTAAAAGTCCATCTACATCTACTGTTGTAGATGATTAAAACGGACATTTTAAATTCCAATTGCAATAATAAATTACACTAACATGGCTACTGACGTCAATTGTTATAAAAGACTGTGTTTTCCTTTACATTGACAAACATTCATTGTTTTCACTAGAACCATTGTAAGAAGTAAAAACATCAGTTTTACAAAAACACTAAGCTACAAAAAACACATTCATTTGAAGTTGGTATTTAAGTAAAAAAAAACTTTCATAAATTCGTAAACAGAACTTATATTCGGATTATGTTATGCTATGGATAGGTACACATATAAGTTCTTTAAAGGAATTAATAAGTAAATGAACAGGGTGAAGGATTGTGTTATTGTTTTGGTTTTCTCCCTCTTCACCAAATAGCGAATGTCATGTGAATGTAAACAAAACATTGCGATACAAGCTTTGTCTTCCGTTATCAATAAAAGTGTTTTAGGCAAATTTTGTTTGACGTTTTCTTCCTAAACTCGTGATAAATGCCTTACTTTTTTGTGGTAATAGTAAAAAAAAATTACCTTGAGCGCTCCACAGATCTCGACCGCGTCCTCGTCGTCAACAACGACAACTCTGAAGTATTCAGTCTGGATTATGTCCCGCATCATCGGGGCGAGCATCACGTCTCGACAACCTATTGTGGTTTCACAGAACTTTTCCTCTGCTACCTAAAACAGGAGAAGACATTGAAAATCACGACCGAACACAATTTCCTTATTCTTTAACTAACTTTAAAAAGGAGATTCACAATTCGTCGTTAATTTTTGTATTGTTGTTCGGGCATATCTCTAAGATGCGTGCCCCGATTTTGTTAATTCTTGTGCATCGCCGCCTCAAGTCGCCGCTTGTTTATATATATATATGTATATATAAACAAGCGGCGACGGTTTAATAGCTAGCTTACGACCTATTTTCATTCTTATCAAATATACACAAAAAAAAACATAAAAATCGGTCGGCCCTTAAGTTCGATAACGAACACTGTGACACGAGATTTTTATGTATGACAAGATAATAAGACAATCAATAGGTTATTTATCCTTAAACAGTCATAGTTCATAAGACCGACCAAAGTCTATGGAATCTTATAGTCGGGCACCTACAGTCGCACACGTTGGAACGCGGCACATAAGTTTATCACTATAGCCGCATAGTTACACAGCTCGAGTTATCTAACTCCAAGGTCAATAAAGAGACTGTGTTGCATTTAGAATGCAGTTTGCAGTCGTAGATATAGTAAATGTTTTCCGCAGATCAAACACCTACTTTAAATGTAATTACTGTACTAAATGTACTTTTAATGTATTAAAAACTTAGCAGAACGACAGAATTTATAAGTTTTAGTTCAGTTTATTAAAGAAAAAAAACAAATCGTTTTTTTACAAATTTGTTTCATAAATATTGCAGGGAGAAAAAATCAGTTCAACTCCCACCGTAGATTTGAGAACCGATGGCGTAACTTCTAGACATTCATAAGTACTTGTAACAACCTAAACTGAATAAATAGATTACAAAAAAACTCACCTCGGAAGCAATATTAGCGCCCATTAAAACAGCACAAGGGATCTTAAGGCACCTTGTAATTATATGTGATATTAGGTCAATACCGCCACCTTCAGCGATGTCGAAACCCTGCCAAAAATGCATTGTTTACTGTTTATTTGTATACTGATAGATCATATCAGCATAATTATTACTGAAACAATTCGATAATTAATCTTGTTTTGTGACTTGTGATACGTATGGGTATGTATCGTCACACAAAAATATCAATTAAATTAAAAATATAGCCTTCAAATATAAGGTATCGGTCAGAGTAACGCAAAGGGTGCGCAAGATAAAATTGTTCTTAAAAATATCGCTTAAACACACTTCCGGGATCTGGAGAATGTGGGAGTAGTACAAAGGGAGGGGTAGAGTCGTGGTCATGTGGATTCTGGGGATCTACAAGACGGAGTTCAGGTCTGGGGTTTGAGCTGGGGTCTAGGTCACTGGGGTCGGGATCATGTGGTGGTCGAAGGGATTTAGGGGGTAGGGTTGGTCTGGGTCTGGTCTGTGTCTGGGGACAGGGTCATGTGGATAGTCTGGGGTTCAGCTGGGGTCTGAGGGTGTGCTCCTACCCCCTGGTGCCTTAACCTCCGGGGGGCCCTACTAATCGGATGCCCCCGCCCCGACGAAACCCCGCGAAACCCCCAGATGCCTCTGGTCACCGTGTGCCCCAACTCCGGGGGCCTCCACCCCAAAGGCCCACCAATAAAAAACCCCCAAAACCAATTGCTCCTATCCCCTGCCCAGGGATTTCAAATCCATAATCCCACTAAAAGCCGAAATTCGGTTAAATCGAAGTTCCTTAAATAATTTTTTTTTTCCTGCACACCCTTTCCGTTACCCCAACCCAACTGCCGCTATTTGTCCTGCCTGTATTATATTGAAAATATACAGGTATTTTTAAAGATACCTTTAAAATACCAGTATACTTCAGAAACTACCAATATTATTTTCCCTTCGGCTGTTTTAGAAACCATTTTCTGAAACCAGTTTCGAAAAAGGAAAAATATTTCTGGCTTTGAAACCGGTTGCTAAATAAGAAATATGTTTCTCTTTTCGAAACCGGAACATAAAATACCTCTGGTTTTGAAAAGAAAAATTCTGACAATAAATAATCTGGCCTGTACAAAATCGCGCCATGGGATCATGGGGCTTTACGCATTACCTATAGTTCCTTATTATATTTTATTTTTACTTACCTTTATCAAGGATAGAGCAGTAGCTGTGGGCTTTATTTTCCCTAGCAATGTAGAGCAAATTGTCCTGACAAATTGGTGAGGCACAACAAAGATAAGGAGGTCACTATCTTTTGCAGCTTCCACCACGTCAGGAATTGCTATCTGTCAATTCCAAGAGTTCTTTTTGCATTTCAGTAATTACAGACTATTAACTAATAACAAACAAATACTTTATACAATATTCAACTTCCACAGCCTAGCTGATGACTTATTTTATTTTCATTAAAATAAGTACCAACAAAATCTTTCTCTCAAGAATTGATAAAATACATTATAAGTATAGTATAATAATCAGAAGTCTGTTTTGTTAAAGGCATATTTCCTCTTCATTTATAGTTATCATAACCAACCTACATCTAATATACTTGCAACTGAGGGTAAATGACACCATATAAATAATACCCGCAGTCATAATTTGCTAAAGACCTCAAATTAGGCACTGAGATCTTAGAACTTAGACTTTAACTATTATTGGTATTTTTTTTATTGCATATCAATTTCGATCATAAAAATATTCGCTGAATTACAATATGTTCAGCTGGTAGGTATTTAGAAAAACAAATTAATGGGTTCTTAATGTTCTGTAGAACTATTAAAACATCACACACTTGACATTGGCAGTAACGAGATTCAGTTATGGAAGTAAGATTAAAATAGAAATTACACTTGTCTCACACATGAAAAGTGTGCCAATGTCTTGGCCAGATACTCATACCATCTCTCTGGATCAATATTATTTTTATTATGCTACTATAGGTACTTAAAAATACTATGAAAAATATGGACTGTCCAGTGATATTTAGGTAATATAGCCTAAAAAGGAATATCGTCATAACACCTACAATATATCGCCACCAGAGATGCTTCTTTATTTTTGGGTCTTCTGGCACAGATATTTTCATATCTAATAATTTTTGCTGTTCATTAATAATTTTATAACAATAAATTTTTTTATAAGACTAAAGCTAAAAACATTCCTTTACCACAAGAAGAAACTATTTCTTGAAGAATTTTACCTCGTCTTTAGTTTTGCTTCATTAGATTAATAAAAAAATTTGAAAAATTATTATAATATACATTTTGTGAAATAAAATCAAGTTCAAGTACACAATAAATTAAATGTTATTTCTATAATGTACTAGTTAGTTGATACCCAGCTTGATTTGCATAAAAAATGGTATCACATACAAACTTTTAGCCCATAAAGTATAAATATTGCAACATAAATTTGCCAAATTCTAATCCTTCTAAGGTCTTCCTTCTTCCTTTGTCAACTTTCATATCAAAATTCATCAAATCAGTTTAGCAACTCATATATCAAAGCATAAATACATTTTTATTTTTATTATAATAAATTTTGTAAAAGTACTACTTACAACATTTTCTGGTAATTTATGACCAGGCAAATATTTAACATTTTCATGTGTTTCATTAATAATTTCTGTTAGCTTCTTTCCTTCAATAATCTCTTCGTATACCCACATAGTAACACGGTCTTCAAAATTTGGTAATCTAGCTGCATTTTTGCCAACAATTTTGGCTATGGCAGATCCCCTATAAGGAATAACACCTAGTTAGCATAAACTACAGAAAAATATTTGATAAAATCTAAATTTCTTTTTGTAATATTGTTTTATCATATTTTTTTGTAAAAGAGACAACAGATAGAAAAAAAGAACACCTTAAATAGAAATGGATAAATCAATGAAATAGATTATTGTTATGTCATCAAGGGTCTTATACACAGTCAATAATAATAATCCTTATGGGTCCAGTTCAAGTGCTTGAATATCGTGTAAATTTTATACAAATCAACGGTGATTTAGTTAAAAGAACTTAATATCTTAATATCACTTACCAATTGCCAGAGCCAATGATACAGACTTTGTTTTTTAATTGTTTTTCTGCCATCGCTATATTAGTACACCTAGAAATTACCAAAACAAAAATGTTTAACGTTCTTAGGAAACCAAAACGAAAGAATCGAATCACAAGTAGTACGGAACTCAACAGTATCTGAATCTACACAATACCTACAAGTTATAAAAAGGAAAATGTATAAACACAACCAACACACTCACACCCCGTTCGAGACAAACACTGACTGACAGTGACCACAGATGACTAAAGAACAATTTCAGTGACAGCGATGAGGGTGCATGACAGTAGGCTTGTCGACAAAGTATCGATATTTTTGTAGTTTTTCGATATCGACATCAAAGTGTCTACGCGTAGACACTCGCGGACTGAGGACTCGCGATTGAGCTTGATTTTAAGGGTATTTGTGAGTGACATTATGCCTCGAGATTTTAGTAATCTAATATTCATCGCAAGATTGTGCGCAAATGCATTATTTGTACGGGTACAGTCTGTCTATAAAGTCGTGACATTAAATGATGGCGCCACTAGTATGCATGTAGCAACCCTGTACAGTCTGACCAAAATGATTTTGATACTAGCAGTTCATTCAAGTATAATAGGTAATTAATAAGACATACTATACAGTCGTATTTTGTTTTTGTTTTATATATAGTAGGTACCTATGCTTATAAAAAGTTTAGCCAAGCATATTTTATTGAATCAGAATAAAATTATTATAGATAAAATAGTACTTTATGGTGTAAAAGTGTGTAATGTTGGTGATTACCGCTGAGGTGCCATTCAGACCAGAGCCTTTAGGTAATTATCAATACACACAAGTATCATCATATGACGTTTTTTAACACACTTGTAAAGAAAAGAATACTAAAAATCATTTTATAGTATATAAAAAATTTAATTAGAGAAACAATTTGTAAATGTGCAGTTAGTAAAATTAGTGATAGGTATCTTCACTAAAAGCATCTGGCCATGGTTCTTTATGTGACCATTTCTTACTTTGGTCGGCCTTGCCTGTTTTCCCAGGAGTTTCAAACTTTCCATCATTCTTAAAACCTTCGTTGACTATCCGACTCTCTGATTTTCCTGAAAAAAAAAAGTAAAAAAATATGTAACGGAATAGAAACAATAACTTATTGACATGAAGCAATTAATTCAAAATTGGTAGAAAACCCGACCGAGTTGAACCATAATAACGTATCAAAAGAAATGGTCGTACTACAATATTACCTATTTACAATGTAAATCTAACCTAAAAATGTGCAATGTAAACAATGCCTTTTTTGGCCTCAAAATCGCAAATTGAGTAAATTTGTAACTTCAGGCAGATTACAAACAAATAGTTACACGATTACATACCCGTTATAGATGCTGTTCGCCCATAAAACCATCCAAATCCCACAAAATTCATCCAGCTTGGTAGTCTTCGAAACATCGCTGGAAAACTTTAAAAATCACTTCCCGCGTGCCACTCCGATTTACTTTACTCATTTTTATACCTTTCTGCGTAGTTTCGTCTTAATTTATTACAGTTTAATCCAAACAATAAAAAATACAAAAGGAAAACTGTTCCACAACTGAAACTCGATGACAGCTGATGTACATAAGTTTGGTGTTGCCAGACACATGAATAATGTTAGTTCCTCAAACATTAATGTCACGACTTTATAGACAAACTGTACGCGCGTTGAAACCATAGGTTGAAACGCTTCACTTGCCGCAAGAATTGTTCTTTGATGTTTGGCATGAAATGTATCGGGTCAGCTTCCTCGATAAGCTTCTGCGAGGTAGTAAACACTATAATAAAGTTCTCACGTCCACTTGACAGGAATAGCGTATATTATTAAGGTTACACTAATTCTTCATTTGCGTAGACGATTGTAACACAAAATCACACCGACATAATATTTTGTCACATATTAACCACCATTAACGAATAAATACCATTATTTAGCGACTGTCTTGCGAATCCGGAGTGTTTGATAGTTTACCATAATTATTTTAACATGAAACAAAATGAATTTTACGGACAACTCCACGAAAAGCAGACAGACAAGAAACACTTTCCGAATATTTTTTAATACCGGCACTAGGCTATTAGTATTTGATATTTTTTAACATCAGTCTGCCCTTTTCATTCCATATATAGCATGATAAGGACAGACTATTGTCACGTTTACAAATAGTAAATACGAATAGCCAAGTGAAGGCAAAAGGGGGTGCCGGCACTTCACTCCATTAACCACAGATTACATCTTTGTTTATGTTTACTTGTTTCTCATATTTACTTTGCAGCAACTTTGCAACATGAGCCTAGAATTTGGTTTATAATTCGTTTTTACTGTGATTTAAAAAGTTAAAATAGGTATCTACCTATCAATTTCAATAAAATATCTTTGGCAAATTAAAATTATTTAAGCCATGGCCGGGACAGCATCAAATCTATTCATGCCTGCAAACTTAGTCAAGTTTGAGGAATTGTGTATTTTATATGATAAGTTACTGAAAACAAAAAAAGATAAAAACATTTATCAGAATTCAAACAAAAATAAGAGACAAGAACAATATCAAATATTAGAGAAATTCATCAATAATTTCAAAGTCAATGTTGCTTCTACTCATGGAGATAATAAGGTAAAACTATTCCTATATTCACTACAAATCAAATGTCATGATATCTTTTGATCAACTTCGTCTCATCAATTAACAAATTAGATACCTAAGCGAAGAAGATAGGCCATTTAATTAGAAATAAATGAAAGTTTAGAAATAAATTAAAGAAGTAGAACAGCCTCCACGGAAGATTTTAGCAGTAAATTGAGGTGGGGGATGAACTTTTCTTGATTTTAGCTCAGGAATGGCATATGTCTGCTGAGGTTTATCTCTATTTTAAACAGTCTTGTTTGGGAACAGTGATGGTGATGGTCTTCTTAAGGTATTTCTGCAATAGAGCATAAAGATAGCTTTTGTAATTACAGAGATCAATATTACATATAATGGTATTGTAGTATGGTATATGGTGTAGTCCTTATTCGACTCCAGGCTAACTTCCGGATGATGCAAAAGCTTCATAGTGGTTGTGTGCAGATTCTGTAGGTTGACTGAGTTGAGCTTTAGTGCTATGGCTGTAGGTGTAGTGTAGCTTTCTTCTTGAGGTATATCCATTAACTTAAGGTTGTGACCTATCAATCTGTCTTTTGCATTAGTTATAGTTAGCTGCCGTGTCTGTATATGACATTTTTATGGAGTGATAGTGAGATAACTTTATTGGTACTCTTTGTAAAGATCTTGTCCACATGAGAGATGATTCTTCGTGATGAATATCATGCCATGACGGGATCCTGCATATAGCGTGGTTCACGTGGGACATTAGCCCCACCCAGACAAAACCGTCAAAAATTATTTTGTCGGGATGCAATAAGGTTTTTAAGAAATATTCGTTGTTCGAGGGAGTAATCGATTTCCTGTTTTTCTTATTTCTATTGTCCATAAGCTCTCTACGGGTTTCTGTACTCAATTCCTGAATGAAATTTTAAGCTTTAGTCATTTAATTTTTACAGTTAGTCATGTACTGTTGTAATAAGTGAGCAGTGAGGTCAATGTCAAATGCGTCTCAGTTAAAGTGTCCTGTAATTATTTCGATTGCTCTACACTTTGTAAAACTATGAATACTACTATTGTAAGCTAAGATGGCATAGGGCATGAGATTGGCAAGAGACTCATTTTTATATGTAAATTAAAACTCGGTGATGTTCTAAAATAGTTGCATGGAACCTTTCAACGATCCCGTTTTCGTTTAGTGCATGTGCGGCACTCTATGGTGCTGAATCCTATGTAACTTTACAAATTCGGCTATGAGCTGATTAGTGAATTCCGGCCTGTTGTCAGTCACACTTACTGCAGTTCCGTCTCGCAAATAATCAGCCTGAGCATATTTAGAAAACGCATCTACTATATTTTGGTTGGTAAATAAATCGAGATGTACTAATTCGAAGGGCTTACTTGCCGACGGACTATTTTGAACTGTGGTCCAACGGGTTGCAATCATATTCCGCTTAACCACAAACCATACATTCGTTGATAAATTTTGTTATTATGCTCGCGCATTTTAGGCCAATAGTATTTATGAGACAGAGCTAAGAATGTTTCATTAATACCGCGATGGTTAGTTTTTCTATCATGATATTTGTTAATGATCTCTTGTTGCCTTAAATATTCCCTGACATTTTCTGATTCCTTTTTTGTTAATGTAAGTTGTATTTTTGAATGTCCTTTGGATGATGGGTATGAGACAATAACAAAGCTAAATGGGGATTAGATAGTAAACCAGTTTTAATTTTGGGGTACACATATTCTTTGGTCGCGTTGATAACGTCATCTTCTAAATTGGATTCAGATATTTGTACCGTAATGCGAGTATGCGTATCGAATGGTTTTGTTACTACCGTACGGCCTTTACTATTACCTGCTATGTTTAAAATGATTTGTTTTGTAAACTTATTCATTGGATCGTCAGAAATTGTGATCTCTAAGATGGGATACTCCGAGTCCGTCTGTAATGTAGCTGTGGCTGAGTTATCGAAAGGATGCCGTGCTTGTTGGGGATTCATCTAACATAGGCGCGGTTTCGGATGGATTAGCTACGATAGATTTTAGTTCCTCGTTATTTAATTCAGTCCTAGATAGACCGTCCGCGTTAGTATTACACTTTCCATACTTTTAAACAACAGAGAAATCGTATTCGCTCAGCTTCAGTCTCTCTCTCATCTGGTAAGTCGTTAGTTCGGTTCCTTTAAGTAAGTCATAATAAGTCATAGTAAGTTAAGTCATAATCCATTGGAGTGGCTTATGGTCCGTAATAATAGTAAATTTGCGTCCAAATAAACACGGCTTAAAATATTTGTTTGCCCAGACCAGCTAAAAGTTCTTTCTCTATTGTGCTAAGTATAATTTAGTTCACTAGAGTTTAAATGCGTAAGCAATCGGTTTGTCAGAACCTATGGTGCCCTGTGATAGAACGACACCTATGGCAACGTTCGACGCGTCAGTGTAATTATGTAATTAAATTTGTAAAATCGTAATTTACATCTAATGTTATTTTTGTTATTGATTGGTGTTAACAATTACAATGGAGTTTAACAGACAAAAGGGGGACAAGACCCAACTTAAGAACTATCGACCCATATCCCTTCTAAGCCACGTCTATAAGCTGTTCTCAAGAGTGATCGCGAACCGTCTTGCGCGAAGACTTGATGACTTCCAACCACCTGAACAGGCTGGGTTTCGGAGCGGATACGGCACCATAGATTACATTCATACAGTGCGGCCAAGTGATTAGATGTCTGTACGAAGCCGCCACCATGTCTGTCCAAGTACAGAATCAGCAAACTAGTCCCATACCATTGCATCGTGGAGTGAGACAAGGGGACGTTATTTCCCCGAAATTGTTCACTAATACAATGGAGGATATGTTCAAGACGCTGAACTGGAAAGGACGTGGCATCAACATAAATGGCGAACGCATCTCTCACTTGCGATTTGCAGACGACATCGTCATCATGGCAGAAACCCTGCAGGACCTACAACAGATGCTGAATGACCTGGCTGACTCTTCTATACGCATCGGCCTACGGATGAACTTGGATAAAACCAAGGTCATGTTCAATGAACATGTTCTACCGGAACCGATTGCAATACACGGTGCCGTTCTCGAAGTTGTTCAAAAATATGTGTACCTCGGGCAGACATTGCTGTTAGGTACAAACAACTTTGAGGACGAGGTGAATAGAAGAATTCAGTTAGGTTGGGCAGCGTTTGGGAAGTTACGTCAAGTCCTGATATCGTCGATCCCACAGTGTCTAAAGACGAAAGTCTTCAATCAGTGCGTCCTACCTGTGATGACATACGGAGCCGAGACGTGGACACTGATGGTACGGCTGGTCCACAGGTTCAAAGTCGCTCAACGCGCTATGGAAAGGGCTATGCTCGGCGTTTCTCTGAAGGATCGCATCAGAAATGAGGTAATCCGGCAGAGAACCAGAGTTATCGACATAGCCCACCGGATTAGCAAGTTGAAGTGGCAGTGGGCTGGCCATATTTGTCGAAGAACCGATAACCGTTGGGGTAGAGAAGTTCTGGAGTGGAGACCGCGTCTAGGCAAACGTAGTGTAGGACGTCCTCAGGCGCGATGGAGTGACGATTTGCGCAAGGTGGCTGGCAGGAGCTGGATGCGAGTAGCCCAAGATCGATCTAAGTGGCGTGCATTTGGAGAGGCCTATGTCCAGCAGTGGACTAAGATATGCTGTTGATGATGATGATGATGAAATCCACAGAACAAAAAAAAAAGTATGATGTAAATTGTGGTGCTCATGCTACGGGCACTGAGCTACACCGGCATTCACTGACATGAACGTAAGGACGCAAATTCTACTTACAAGAGGGCGTTTTATCGCCTCTATCTATGGTATCTATGTATCTATGGTCTTTGGCGGTTGATCAGCTACTAACAGAAGCCTCTGATATATGATTAGATATACAAGGATAGGATACGCGGACGATATCGTGGCTTGCGTCATTGGTCCATGTCAAACTACCGTATCATCTATCCTGCAAAGAACTCTTAACATCATTGTTAAATGGTGCACTAAGAACAGTCTATCGGTAAATCCGAATAAAACAACAATAATACCTTTTACTAGGAAGCGAAAGTTAGATTAACTTAGAACGCCCAAGATGAAAGGAATTCCTGTACCATTTTCCACGTAGGTTAAATACTTGGGCGTTTTACGATCGACCAAAAATTCACGTGGAAACAACCTCATTGATAATGTGATACAGAAGGCGAAAATGAAAGCTTTGCCTTTAATAAACAATCTAGCTCTACTCCGACAAGAACTTGGGCTGGGGCTGTTTATTTATAAACTTACTTATTATTAAACAGATTACTCGTTATCTTTTCAGAATAAAACTATTTTTCCTGTTTTAAGGCTTCTATTGCCAGATCGAGACAGAGAAAGGGGACCTTATAATTTAAAAGAAAAGAACTTAGGTGTTTTGCTAGTCAAAGTGTTGTCATTAAGTAAACAGTCAGATACTGCTAGAAAGTTACTTAATTACAGGTCAGTAGATAAAACTATAGAGAGTGATTTTGCCGGAGTGGCATACTTTGCACTAAAGACTAATATACGTACAAAAGAAAGTGAAGTTACAGTTGGTAAAATTAATGAAATACTGGATAAAATAGCAAATGCAGAAGTAGGTAATAAGGGATGTAAGTACCTCAAAAAATCTTGAATATAAATTATTTTATTCAATATCATATTATAATGATATGTATATGTAGACCAGCCCCTCTAGCATGACCACCGAAACAGGATATGATAAAGCGATATATCGACATTAACTGTCTGACTACTGTCAAACTCCATAGTAGTCTAACAGTTAATGCCGATATATTGCTTTATCATATCCCGTTTCGGTGGTCATGCTAGAGGGGCAGGGGACCAACTTATGATTAAATAGCTTATGATTTCATTTTGTTATTCCTGAACGCCGAAGGTGTTCAAATTTTAATTATACTTTTGTATATTATCATAAAAGTGTTTGTTACTCTTTCTTGAGAGAAATAAAAAGTTTATTATTATTATGTTACTACCAATGCAAAAGAGCGCGAGGTATTTGAAAACCTTCGGCCGTCAGGAATAACAAAATAAAATCTTAAAAACACTTAATAAATAAAACACAGAATTAATTGTATTTTTATTATATTTCAGCTGCATTAGATGATGTCTTTGGCTATGCTCTAAAGAATTTAACAGCAGAACAGTTTAAATGGTTTCTGAGAATCATATTGAAGGACCTCAAGCTTGGGATAGGATCAAACCATATTTTAGCTGCTTTTCATCCTGATGCACCTGAATATTTCCAAAATTGTGGCAGCCTTTCTAAGGTACAGATAAACAGTCTTCGTCAAGTATATTATAGCTTTGTAGCCAAAATTATGAAATTATTTTAGCCATTTAGATACACATACACACACACACTCAAAAAAAGCATACTATTTATTTCAAGATTTTTGATACATGAAAATGCTTTAGGAAACTAAGCAATCAACCACTGAGGTTGTATACTGATTGTATATCTTATGGAGTCGATATCCTTTGATCCGATATCCGATGATTCTCTAAACTTAATACTAAATTGAAGATCTTTCTTTTCTTTTTATTTTGTATAGAGAGTGACTACTGACTAGGATACACTGTTGTCAAATTTAATTTTAGGTTTAGAGAATCGTGCCAGAATCGACACCTATACCTATATATTTTTAAGCAAAAGAAATATAATTCTTCCTCTGGCCTTTCCAGTAGCCATTAAGCCTCCCAGAATTTATTTTTCATCACCTGGAGGTAATAATGGATTATCATTGTATTGAATTGAAGAAAATTATGCTAATAGTTATAATTTTTATTATTTTTAAAGCATGTAACTGCTTGATGTTTAAATCTAAAGAAAATATAACTAGAAAAAATTCCACGCGGACCAGGCAGCAGACGGGACTTATGCTAATAGCCGCGAAAATATAGCAACCGTGATAAATCATACTATACTATAGTTTTAGCAGCAGAAACCACAATAAAAAAAACTACAAAAAATAAGTTAAACTGCGCCCTCCGTAACCGCGCGGAAGCAAAAACTGGTTAGCCCAGATTGCGGAAGGTGCTGGTTCGAGTCCTCTCTGCTACCTGGAACAAGTGGATATTTATCTAGTAAAATTTTCTTTGGAATATCTCAAACCTATTCTTTTTCGTAATCCGAGTGAATGTAAAGTAAAAAATGATAAAGAGAAAAAGATTACGAAAGGGTTGGAACGTTATCCCCCTGCCAAGTTGCGTTAGCCAAGAACTAAATAATCAGTATGTTTTAAAGGTGTGTGATGAGCTCGAAGACGGTGACACTCGTCCCTTGGAGTTGGGCATCCAAGTGTTCTACGCCGTCAGTCCAATGCTGTCCGAGCGACTCGACGTGACTCAGTTGGCACAGCACATCTCGTTTGATAACACTTACATAGTTGAAAACAAATTTGATGGTGAAAGGTTTCAGGTAAGTCACTTACTCTCTTTCACTAACTTTGAGCACAAATGTGTACTTATTTTTTATTACCTGTAAGTAGAGTAGACCTGAGGTCCAAGCACGAGTTTTCGACAGCTCCGTAAAGTATCGTAATCGTCAAATTTTATATATAAAAAAATACAAAGTTATTTTTTTCTTACGTCCGATACCGTGCTGCTTAGTTGTCATAGAAGCTTTAATGATGCGATACGATTACGGAGCTGTCAAAATTGGTACTGGGGCCCGCAGAGGCATAAGTTTTTTTAAGTGAAACTTCTTTTCGGACGGGCTGTAAATGGAAAAACCTATGAAAAAGGTGAAACGGAAATGGGTCATGAGTGTTACACGACTGTATATATATATATGTATGTGTGTGTGTGTGAGATGCGTGCGCAGCTCTTCCCGACGAGCATGAAAGTTAGACAGTAACTCGCCGAAGGCTGAAACATCACGAACGTCATTATTTAAGAGTCATGCGCTGCTCCATTCTCCTATGCCTTATGCACCGCCTAATGTTAGGTTATTAAATAAAAAAGTTTCACTTCAGATGTGTCGTCCGTGCACACTAATTTTTTTACCGGACGCAAGAACAAACTGACACCTTTCATACAAAATTTCACGATGACGATGCGATTACGGAGCTGTCAATATTCGTGCTTGCGCCTCAGTAGGAGTAGTCAACAAGTTCGGCCTTTTATCGTAGACAGCAACTTTCGCAACAACCGAAAATTTTATATCTCGAACTCCTTCGTGCTTCAGAAGACATGTGAAGCTGATGGTATCGAACTCACGACTACATTGCTGCAGTTGTAACCACGAACGAAGTAGACAGTATTATTTATTGACACAGGCATTTTAGCATTACCTTCTGTTATTTAAACATGTCGAGCATGGAGCATAAAATAATTATCGCCTATATGTCAATATAGCTAAAACAAAAAATGTATTCACTAACTAAGGTCTCTAATCGCAGGTCTGGCTGCGATAAAGTGAAATTATTTTATAAGCTTTTATTTACTTTCACCTGACGGTTATGTGTGCAATGGAATCTTCCAAGTTGAATTTGCCAAAAACTTTCCGGTATCTGATTTTTTCATGTTGACTCTATCTATTGCATATCAAGTGTTTCACTTTTAGATCCACATGGAAAATGGAAATTTCGAATATTTTTCTAGAAAAGGTCACAAATACTCAGACAACTATGGAAAAACGTATGATTCTGGATTATTGACACCCTTCTTAAAAGGCTCTTTCAATTGTGATGTTAAAAGTTTTATACTGGATGGAGAAATGATGGGGTGGCATAAAGTGAATGAACATTTCAGTAGTAAAGGTTTGTTACATTTTTATCTGTTTTTAATTATATGTTTGATCTCAACTAAGTGATAATAGAATAAGGCTGGAACAGTGGTCAACCGACGATCAACGCTGACGTTCCAGAGTCGGACGTAGCTAAATCTATGCAAATATATGAACCCGTATACTGCTGCACTGATTATTTGCTACGCGCATACAGCAACGAAGAGAAGAAAGTAACGGTCGTTCGGCGTACGTCGGTCGATCATCGAGCTATGAAATTGTATTTAAGCGTTTAGTGCTTTGCTGACGGAGCGACCGTGCTCAAGCGTGTACCTATGTATGAACTTGGGAACTGTACACACTGTAACTTTTGAACTCCATGCCGTTGTACTGTAATTGCCCTGTTATGGACAAGATTGATTAAACTAAGTACTTGGGAGTGGTGGTTGATCAGCGGCTGTCCTGACATTCTCATATAGATCAAGTTACTACCACAATTAGGAAACTGATCTGGATATTCAAGACTCTGATACATATGGTGCCTGTAGGGCGGTTGGTTAGTCAGGGCTCCTCAAGGAATGTTCTTAAAGAAATCTATAAAGCCCTGGCAGAGTCAGTCCTTATTTATTATATCCCTGTCTGGGGAGGCGCAGCCAAAACAAAAATGCTAAAATGAGAGCATCCACAGCGGGATTTGCTAAAAATTATGCACTTTAAAAATAGATGATACCCAACATATGCTTTATATTCTACCAGTAAAGTCCTGTCTGTTAGAAAGTTGTACATTCTTCTCACTGTAATAAAAACATAAATTGACAACCTTAGGATCATAGGTAAAACATAAAAGAGAAGAAAAAACTATGTTGGACTTCCACGAACAAATACTGCGTTTGGATCTATGCAATATAATTTTCGCTCGGCATATCTATATGATCAAACAAATAAAATTGTACATATATATAATATACTAAAACTTGACACGAATTTATAACAAAAAAACATTATGTATACTATTATTCGTGTTTTAATACCCGATAGGTCGTTACACAACAGTTGCATAAATAGCTATTTCTCAAACATGCTTGGAAATTTGAGAATTATTTTGACAACCTTCATCGAAATACATCGAAGTTGCTGTACTGGCCACATACATGCGAGCAGCAGCCTGCAAAAGTTGTATGAAAATCCATATCAGTCGTGTTTTTTGGCCAAATAAATAACATACAAAACTCATATCTTCATCGTGTTTGCCATTTACACGATGCAATTTTTTTTGTACATACAAGAGCAATAATAGCATACAATTAAAGCGCCATTTACACGATACAAGTTTCTTGTCTGTTGCATACTACCTACTTGGCTCAGAGGAGAAGCAACGATTAACACACCATCACTTACTGCACTCATGTTAGCAAATGATACAAGAATTGAATACAATTTACATGGTCGTACATCAATGCCTCTTTTGCTGGCCGCTGCAGTAATGTACTATATACCCTGTTGAAAACAGTTTATTGTTTCTGTCATCTTCTTTCAATTCAACAATCATTGAAAGAAAATAGCTTTACGATACAATTTTCATTTCTTTTTTGCTAATGTGTTAATTATTTGTATTTGCTATTTTCTTCATTTCAGGGATTGCGTTTGATGTAAAAAAAATAACGGACCATTCGAAATTTCGTCCTTGTTTTTGTGCATTCGATGTTTTGTATTATAATGGTACACCTCTGGTTGGTACCAAAGAAAAAGGTGGCTTAACTTTAAAAGAAAGATTGAAGATATTAGATTCTATGTTTCATAATGTCACTGGAGTTATTCAACACAGTATAAGAGAAAATGTTAATAATAGGTAAGTTAATGTCTATGTTATTAATATAGCTCGGTGCAAGTAAATGATCTCTGATTAAAGTGTTTCTAAAAAATCCTATTATTTTTTGTGATATTGTCATATTTCAGTAATGACATATTGGACAAACTTAATCAGGCCAGTGAAAATGAAGACGAGGGCATTGTTGTGAAAGATGTGGATTCTTATTACATACCTAGTCGACGGAATGCTGGGTGGTACAAAATTAAACCTGAGGTATACATATATCTAGTTATAATCTGGATTGATTATTTATATAGGATGGATTAATTAAATCAGATAATAAATTGATTGCATTCAGATGAATAGGGTATTTAACAAGTTTTAGAAAGTTATCTCACGTTATTTACTAATAATTATGGAGTTCACAAAAAGTAGTATAATATTCATCATTTTATTCTGTATTTCAATAAAAAAACGAAATAAAAAAAACAATTTTCATGTTGCCGCGAAAACGTTTCTCTAGGCACTATGCCGTCTCACTGGTATGTGACGTCATTAAAACGTCAAATGATACAATGTCATGTCACTGACCGGAAGTTTACAAGCGTTTGACATCATTTTAGTCTTCGTCAATCCCATCCGTTTCGGTCAAGTGACTATAGAGCAACAAAATCCTTTCTATGTAATGATTTTTTAGAAAAAATATTAATTAATTGAACTCTAAGTATAGTAATAATAGTAAAATAAAATGGCTGCTAATATTCATATTAAATACAGATGCCAACAATTGGTACTAATTGATTTTTCATAATGTCAAATAGTCTATTGCGATGTTGCCTTTTAGCCCCAAACATTTTTTTATTGATTAAGGCAGGCTTTTTATTTGAAAAATTATAGTGCGATTCAAACTTAATGGCAACTGTGAAGTAAGCGCAAGTGGAGGCGTAGTAAACGAAATTTAGGTGCGCATATTTTGCGCTCGTATTTACATTTTTGGAAATTTTGCACCCGTTTGTTTGTTTGTACTGCAGTTTGAATTGCACTTAGATTCTTTAACTTAACTCGTTCACCTTCAAAGTTAAAGCTAATATCGATGTGCCTTTAGTTAATCGCTGCCCAAAATGTCGAAAGGGAATTTCGCGTAAAGATTAAAATTGCAATTTTCGCCAATGTTTCAGTACACAGAGAGTACGATGACAGACCTGGACCTGGTGATAATAGGAGCAGATGAAGCTGCGAACAAGAAACAAGGGCGTGCCAAATCTTTCCATGTTGCTTGTGTTGATAAAGCGGCGCCGGGTAAGTCGAATTCAGAACACAGAAAGAGGTTAGAAGGGCCTTGTGGGCGGGGCAGGCCACGTTTATGTGTGAGCAAATGCTCATAACTTGATCAAAACTTGGTTCTGATTGCGTCATTGTTCTCGAGTGTGAGCGCTGATTGGTTCGATTGTTTGATGTTGTGTCGTTTGATTATCTATCATCTATTAAGTGGAAGTGCAGTGGGGACGAGCCGGCGACATAGGTTCACGTGCAAACGGTCCATGATCACCCTTCTAATCTCTTTCAGTGTTCTGTGGTCGAATTCCTTTATTTCCACGTGTTTACCAAAGAAGAATTCATTCTACTTCTTCTTGGAAAAGAAAAAAAAATACTCAGCCTCTGCATATATATTTCTTTTCATTTTTACTTATTGTTTTTTTTTGTTTGTGGTATTGTTAAACGTGATTGTGTCGTTTATTAATCTGTTATTCACGTCAACCTTAGGCCCTGCCAGAATATCAGCGCCGCAGCGGCCTTGGTGTCGTTGTGGCATTGTGCTGAGGCAGGGACCTAGTTGACCTGTTTGTCATCTGTGCTTTTTATTTGTATTTTTTTTATGGTCAATAAACAATTTCTTTCTTTCTTTCTTGAAAAAAATGAAAGCATAGAACCAAATCTAAAATAAAAAATGCGCAACGCTTAAGACATATTTTATTTTATATAAACTAATCAAAGTATCTTGAGAACATTTCAGAAATCCTATTAGAGTAGATGACCAGCCAGGTATTCGGTTTAGAAATTGCGCATTTAATGAAAATATTAGTACATGTGACATATGTCTCTCTCTGCGCACGAGGAGTGTGTAGATATTTGATATTTTGTATTTTTTACCGAGCCCCCGTCCTCACTTTCGGCTTAGTACTTCAGCTAACAAGCTATAATTCCTATTTTAAATATCCCCCACCCCTTCCCCCAATTTCTCTATTTTAACAAAGATTTTTCAACGGAAGTCCCTGCCCCTGGATATGTTGATGGAGTAAAACTTTAGCTAAATCCGATATTTTTCATAAGAGGGGAAAATATCTGTCCTTGTTCCAGTGGCGGACTAAGCCCGTCAGAGGCCCGGGGCGACAAAGCTGAATGAGGCCCCTCAGCTTTAAAAAAAAAATTAGTTTCTTATGTTTGTTTTGTTAAAATCTGACAAGTGAAATTTAAATTCGAATTAAATTATTTCGGCTAAATAAATATACATACCTAAAATATGGTACATAATGACTAGAAACTACGGATAATAATTTCTAGACTAAATTATTCGAATAATTACTTACTATTTCGAAAAACGCGAAAATGCATTATCTTAACTCTGAACTCATTTACTTTTATACCGCAACAAAAATAAAAAAACCAAATTACACTTTTTAATACAATTACTTGAAACGGATAATATCGCGTTTATTACTTAACAATTTGAAAAAAGGCTTATCCGTTCTCGGAACGCACTAATAAACTATTAAATATAAAAATACCTATATTTTAAATGAGGCCGATGTTTATTTTTCAACGTAAATATAATGTAGTGAATGTAAATGTAGGCTTACAAGAGTGAATTACAAAATGCTACAAAAACGGGATTTCCCCCAGCGTATTGGACGCGTTCAGTTAAAAGAATATTAGTACCGCGTAAAAAGACTAGATGGCTGTAGTGTTTTGATCTTGATGAAAATAAACCTACATACTACTAAGCACATTTTTAAAGTCTTGTTCAGCATTTGATCAGGGGAACGCGTAGGTATTTTCGCTCCAGGTGATTTAGAATCTAGCACACGTTTGCTGTGCGTAGGGCGCGTATATCAACAAGTCTCTCTCACGCGGATAAGAAAGTATTGTGCACAGATTTTAGAGAAACATTGGAAGTCAAAGTAACTTTAAAAAATATTTTAAAATATTAACAGGAGTAGAGCATGCACAGTTTATCGGTTAGAAATCGCACGTTTAACGAAAAAATAAATACAGGCAGTCCTCGTACTTACGGCATGTAAGGTTCACAAAATACGCGACGTAAGTCAAAACGACGTAAGCCGAGACATATTTTTTCATATGTTTACATGTAAAATTCAAGGGTTAGGATCCACACGGACTCAAAATGTCTTGCTTAGGTGGTATAGTTAGATTAAAATTCACTTAAATATATATGTAAAAACAAAAACTGTCAGAGATGCAAAATAAACGAATGTATAACGTCTTCATTATCTTTCGTCCCTGAACTAACTAAACAAAATCAACAGCATGTGCGGGGTAACCCCAACTCGCCGACACCGCGCCCTGGCGGTCCCACGGATATTGACCTCGCGACAAGTGAATTCTCCTATGCCAGAAATCGAATCAATTGACATGTGTTTAAGGAATAATGTTAAAACATTGATCGACGTAAGGACGGAAGTCGAGGACTGCCTGTACACGTGATTTCTCTCTGTACTCCCTGTGATATTCCATGATTTTTACCGAACCCCCTCCCCCACTTTTGGCTCAGTACGTCTGCTACCAAGCTATTAGCTATATTAACCAAGTCTCACCGCAGTCTCCTGGGGCCATGGCCTGGGGCGGCTGCAAGAACTGTAAGAGGCAGCATAGGCCATATAAACAGGTCAGTAACATTTGTTACTGGCTTATATTTTGATTGATATAGTAATTCTAGGGGAGGGGAAGAGGGGTGCAAATCGTTGGAAAAAACTTTGTTCTCATTCTTTACAGGTGATTTAGAATCAAGCACTCGTTGGCTATGCGTAGCGCGCGTATCAACGGGTCTCTCTTACTCCGAAAAAGAGATATTGTGCTCGGAATTAGAGAAACATTGGACGTCGACCCGAGTCGCTTCGGCCCCGCCCCAACTAGTGTTCAACAAGGAGAAACCAGATTTCTGGATACTACCCGAACAGTCGACGGTCTTGCAGGTAGTGAGCTATATGTAGAAATAATACTTTCGTATTATTTTATTACTTATTCTGGCAGTACAGTACCCTTAGCACGAAGCAATAACGAATTCGAATAGTTGTTTCCATCTCGATACAGGTCAAATGTCAAGAAGTTTTGAATGGGTATTTGAACAGCGCCACAACGGACGTAACGAGAATTAAAAATCTCCCATACAAAACTTCTTGATATATGACGCGTATCGAGATTCGAGATCAAATTCAACTATTTGAATTCAATTTTGGTTTGAGCTGAGGGTATGGAAGGGACTGGTTATAATAATATTTTTGTCTATTACAGCATATGAAATACCTGATAAAACTATCGACTTAATAACAAGTAATATTTGTATCAATAGTACCAATATTATAAATGTAAAAGTTTGTCTATCACCTCTTCACGCTTAACCGTTTTAGTTAAAATTTTGCATACAGAAAGTCTGAGTCCTGGGAAAGGACGGAAGGAAAGCATTTTTCCTAGATTTCATCTTTAAAGGGTGTACAGGGAGTGGAAGTTTGTACGGCCAACTTGTGATGTAAATTTTGCAGAAAAAAAAGTTTGTATTGTTTAAAGAAATATACCTAATGTAAATAAATAAACCAATGTTACTAAAACTTTTTATCGATAGTAAAGATGGACGGTGCAACCAGTTTACAAAATGTCCCATTTCAACGTAAATTATTTGCTTTATCACTACTCTTTAATTTGTAGTATTACAATGCGGTCAAAGTTTGGGAATAGCTACAGTGTTAGGGCTTTTCAATGTCCCTTTTTTTAAATAATGATTTTATATTAAAATTTGACCTATCGAAAAACCTTTTTATGGTTTGCTTACCCTTTGTCTCAAAGGAAGTTGAAAAGAATATAGATAAACAAATTACGTAGCTAACATAACTCATTTTTTAGTTATATTCTTCCCTATTGGGAAAGGCGAAGCCAAAGCCATGCAGCCATCGTCTTATTTTTGTATTCATCTTTCTTTCTTTACATTAGAATGTTGTTGTGACGCATTCTAATGTTTCTTGGAGTGTTTGTCACAAAATGTATCGAGTCAGCTTTCTCGACAAGCTCCTGTAAGGTAGTCCATTCTACAATAAAGTTCTGACACCCACTTGACCGATATAGCGAATACTTTAAGGATTCCGTTAATTCTTCAGTTGCGCAGACATTTGTAATACAAAATCACACCAATTTTACTTCACACTATCCACTATGAACGAATTTAAAGAATAATTAAAATATGACACCAACCGCACTCGATGAAATCCCGCCTAAAATTCCTAACATAACTCATTTTTTTAAAATTATTTTTCACCATCTTGGCAAGAGCCATGCAGCCATAGTCTTCATTTAAAAGTTTTTTTGTGTTTCTTTTTTTCTATAAGGCCGAAGCCACTTCCTCAATCATAAAATATTTGTCCTAAATAGTCTTTCTAATCCATTTTCAGTATAGGTACTTATTTTCCCCTCAAATTTTTAAATCCGATTTTGAAGCCATCATCTTGTGTGTTTAACGTGTCATGAAACTAATATAACTCAATACAAGCCTCATTGACAGGTGCGCGCGACGGAGCTCATACGCAGCGTCAGTTACGGCACGCAGTACACGCTGCGGTTCCCACGCGTGGTGAGAGTGCGTGACGATAAGCCCGTCGGTGACGTCACCACGCTCCAATACTTCGACGGCCTCACGCCGGTGAGAAGGAACGATAATATGAGGAGCTGGCGAACAAAACGGTATAATTACATCAAATTAAATTTTACAGGAGCAGTAAAAACTGAATGACACACCTACAGCGAGCTTTTGACGTGATTTTTAATTTAGTAATTTTAACACTATTTAAGGCGGTTTTGATTGACATGAGTTAAAATTCAAATTCAGCTGGCCCAAAACCTCTGGGATGTAAAAATAAAGTATTTATGGTCAAAATCATATGCGTAATTATACCATTTTGTTCGCCAGCTCCTCATATATCCTTTTAACAGATTGGCTCAAAAATGCATTTACCGATGTTGTACCTATACATTGTTTTAGTTCTTTCTCTCGTTAAGTTCAAAATGACGGGTCATACAACAGAACGTGCGGTAATAGTACATTATGATATAAGTGCGGTAATTTGAGAATTACAGTCGAGGCGATATTGTTAGCCCGAGCCGTAGGTGAGGGCTATAAAAAGGCAGAGGCTGTAATTATCAAACCGCACGTATGTCATACGACGTTTTATAACACATTTGCGAGGAAATAATACTACCTACGTAAGTACTTTCTGAAAATGAATTTGCACCTTTGTTTGTTTTCCATAAGATGAAATTTTGATACGCTTGACTGTAAGTATCTATCCGTGGATTTTTCGGGCAAGAGGCTTAACTTAACCTTTTTTGACTTCTGGCGGTGTCAAATTAATAAATTCGTTAGTACTTGACAATATTTTCAAATAAAAACAATACAGCGGAAAGAAAAAGAAATTACTTTTTCACATATAAGCGATGCGCGCGCATCAACGCTTTTTTTAGGCAAAGGAACAAATAACAGCCAGTGTTACTAATAAAGTAAGTTCTTTTTTTTGTGAATTTGTTACCGATACATGGTTGTAATTTAATGCCAAAATGAATCAAATTAAAGAATTAAATGTTTATATATTATATTTTTTGGGAGATAAAATATAATATATAAACATTTAATTCTTTAATTTGATTCATTTTACAATGTTATCGTTTTTTATATTTTTCGTTTATTTTATTAAGAAAATGTTGGCTTCCTTTCTGACATAAAAACTCTTTGCTAAGATTTAAAGAAGTATCGTTCGTTTTTAGACGGAACGTACTATGCTGTACGTTTTACTTTACATTACCGCACGCGTGTGTAATGTGATAGATTATGATATTGAAATTAGTGCAATAAGAGTAGGGATGCAAAGTCTTTTGAAATATCGATATTATATCGATATTTATATCGAAGTCAGCAAAATATCGATATCCGATATATCGACCATTTTAACTCGATATTATCGATATATCGATATTTTTTTCTTTTTTTTTATTGACATTACAATACGGGCTGAGTGTAACACATTCATATGTTTGTTGGCGAGTTTCTCGCAAAATGCATTGAGCCAGCTTTTTCTTTAAACACGCTTGATGAAATCGCGCCAAGCAGGATTTTTTTTTGGCTCGCACTGTTTATGTTTCAGCCACGACGGGAAACCAAAAAATTAAAATTATTATCCTCATCAGATCACTCACATTTGTTAGCACGAATGCGCCAACCCGCATATGTGGGACGACATTTGCGAATGCCTTCACTAAGTTTTCACTACATTCGTGCTTTTCCAAGCTATGTCGGTTTTTTAGCGCACATCAAATACGCAAATTGCTTAGTCTCCCACACATCAGGGGCGTGCCCATGGCTTCAGAATAGGGTAAGCCCAAAGTTTCAAAAATTACTATACCTATCTTACTTTCTTGACTTGTCGAGCTTAAAAATTTACGATTTGTATAAGATTCTTAATTTTATTTTGTGTTATATTACAATGATATTTAATTTCAATTAATCAGTAGTTGACAATTATCTAGAAAGAGAGGCAAGGATTTTATTTACGTGCATGAGTTACCATTAGGTATACGATTATACCTATATACGTTGGTGTCGATTCTGGCATGATTATCTAAACTTAAAACTAAATTTAACATCAGTCTCTCCTTGTCATTCTGTATAGAGAATGACAAGGATACACTGTTGTCAAATTTAATTTTAGGTTGAGAAAATCATGCCAGAATCCACACCAGTTTAGTATATTTCTTGGGGTTCAAGATTTTTTAATATATCTATAAGCTGTTGCGATTTCAAAGCAATAGTTATTTCGATATTATTCAATTTAGATAGTCATAGCAGGTAAATTAGTTGATATTATTGTGTTTAAATTTAGTCTACGAAATATCGATATTTTGGAATTTCCGATATCGATAATATCGATATCAGTGAATTTTAAATATTGATATAAATATCGATATTTTGGTCTCGATATTATCGATAATATCGATATTCCGATATATCGTTGCAACCCTAAATAAGAGACGCTTTACCAGAATGTATTATAATACATTTTACCGCACGCTCCAATAATTGTCGCCGTGCGTATACTTTGACATTTTCACGCCGGCGCCGGTGAGAAGGAAGAGTCCCGAACATGGATTCGAGAACCATTATACCATCTAACAGATCCCATGAATTTTTTACACATTTATAATTATCACCGAATGAACTATGTACAGACCAATGACCGTTTGACCAACTCATCGTTTGTGTTTCCTGCTATACCATTAACTAACACCCAATTCTTTGCTGCTGGCCTAATACAATACCTTTATTTAACAATGTCGCTGGTACTGTCTACTCTCACTGTTGCTACTACTAGGTCTCCTCTAATGTATCTTATCTAATTTTTCTTTTAGGGCAAAGATCCAGTGAAAAAGCTGAGCACGAAATCGATTAATCCGGAACTAATGGGTAGCACAGATAAACTTCCAAGGAAGCGTCGTGCAAAGGAGATTAAAGTAGCAGAACAGTTTCGCACCACAATATCCGATTCTGTAGAAGTGATATCAAAGGCACTGGAAGGAAGAAAAGTATGCATTCTATCCGATGATGAGCAGTGTCGGAGGCCGGAACTACTGAAAATTGTGAAAAGGCACAGCGGCATTGTCGTTTCAAATATTGGTAAGTGAGGCGTACTAAAATAAATATAATTGTTTACCACCAATCATTTAATCTCAAACTAAACAGTCACCCTTTCAGAAACCCAAAAGCACGAGTTTTTGACAGCTCCGTAAAGTATGGTCGTTGTCAATTTTTTTATGGAAATGAAATTTATTAAACACAAAACAGAGAAGATACATTTTGGTGGTGATTTAAAAAAAAAGGTGTGTTGGAAAAAGCTAATTTGTTCTTGCGTCCTTTTAGGGGCGCTGCTTAGTTTTCATAGAAACTTTGACGATGCGATAGGTTACGGAGCTGTCAAAAATTCGTGCTTGGGAGTCAGCAGTCTTTCTTTTTCTTTGTATAATAGGGATGATGACTTACTTTTTTTTTCTTCTCTATCAGGTAGATTATCATAAAGTATTTGTCAATGTCATAAACATAACATAGATACATTGGTTTGAAATGCCGATTGACGTCACGTCTTGGTACAATTTTGGCGTGCCTTTTTTGGTTGCTTGACCAAAGAAAAATAAGTTTCCTTTTTTTAAGATAATCTAATTGACGTACAAAATAGAATTTCATTTAATTTTCACATTCAGCATTCCTATTTAGGGACTTCTACACAGGGATCGCCAGTTCAATTAAATACACTTATTACATACTAACTGAAATCACCAATCTTGTGACCACACTTAAAAAGTGTTTTAATAAACAACTTTATATTAAATAAAACTAGTTTTTACGGGTTAATGCACGAAACTTTATTTATTTATTGACGTTTCGAACTTTATATTGTTGCCTTTAATAGGACCTGATACTTGGTGTGCCATAGTAGGCAAGATTAACAAACGCGAGAGGGCAATCATCAAATCGCAATCTTACGACGTAGTCAGCAGTTCTTGGCTCGTTAACTTGCCACCGTCAGAGGTTCCCTGCACCGTCTCACCGTTAGATTTGATTTCAATCAAGAGAACTACTAAACAACTGCTTTGTAGAAAATACGATGTTTTCGGCGACAGTTATACTGAAGATGTGGACGGAGAAACGTTAAAGAGGATCTTCGCAAAAATGGACGATTGCGTAAGTTGTTTTCAGATGATTGTCATCAGGGGCGTATTTACCTTAGGACCAACAGGGCCATGGTCCGAGGCGGCTGACTGCGGGGGGTGGCATAAGCCATCAAGGCATTTGTTACTGACCTATATTTGATTTACTAATTCCAGAGAATGGCGGGGGGGGGGGGGGGGGGCAAGGCAAATCGTAAATGTCCCGGGGAGCCAGATTTGAAAATACACTCATGATATTTGATTTGATGTATATCATTATAGTCATTAGTGTCGAATCTGGCATGATTTATTTATTTATTTATTCTTCATGTACAAATGTACAATGGCGGACTTAATGCCGTAGGCATTCTCTACCAGTCAACCATAGGATGTTGTGGAGATTATTAGTGGTAGGGTGCACAACTGAGGCGGAATGATGATACATGATGATACACATAATTCTCTAAACCTAAAATTTAATTTGACAATAGTGTATCCTTTCATTGTTTTACATTGTTTTAAATTACAACATGGTAACAAGTAATAAACATGGTACATGGTAGCAATCCCGTAAATAATATAAATTACTATAGTAATTTAGAAATTAGAACACAATTACTATAGAGCGGACGCTGCGATAGGGACAACAGTAGCTAACGTAAAAAACTGCATATAAAAATTGCAAAATTCGAGGTTTGGCTCTCGACGATTTCCTCCTTGAAAATTAGATAGTGTAGTAAGTATGTTAGTTATAATTTATGGCACTATGTTTTGCTGTTTTTGTAAATAAAAATTAAATGCTCTACGAAGAATAACATAAACTTTTGAGTATTACTATCAACTTATAACGTCAAAATAAAATATTTACAATCATTTGTGATTTGACTAGAAAGAAACTCAATTATGTAGATGAAATTAAAATACTGTAGGCGGGCAGCCCTACCGCGTGGATCAGTCCCGCTCGGCCGTAGGTAGTTATTTCAAGGACAGGGCCCAGACACAATACTGTATAGATAATATTACCGTGCCTTTGTATTTATAATTTAATACGTTAAGGAAATAATTGTACCTATCTCTTTTTCAGCTCATGGAGATTGCTCATCAGCTCATTTGAAATTTTGCATAGTAAAAAGTTTATACAGGATGTTACAAAAATACAAAGCTTGAAGGGCGTTGAAGTACATCATATAAGGAGTCTTCTCTTATTTTCTTAAAACATTTGCTTTATTTGTATTTTTGTAACAGCCTGTATATGGAGTAGGAGTGCAGAAAACAAACATTGTAGAATATCTAGTGTTCTTAATTACACAGTATTTTTTTATCGTAATAAAAATGTCAAATGTCATCGTGAACTGTATCCTTAGCACGAACCAATATCGAATTCGAATCGAAATCGAGTCCGAAATGTCATTGTCAAGTATGTATTGAGTTTAAGTTCTGTTTACGTACTTTGTGCCGCTGCTGTGCAAGTTTCCATACAAAATTTGACGTTGACATTTCGGTTTGCAAACTATTCGAATTCGATAATGGTTCGTGCTAGGGGTACTGAAAGAAAGATTAAGCCCCCTCCCTTCCCCCATGGCCGCGTTATTATCGTTCGATTACATTTTGTATGCGAACGGCAAAGGAGTTACACACTGCAGCAATAATAACGACGCAATAGAAGTATGGTGCTATGTCGCAATAACCCATCCGATATTATCAACCGTAATAATGCGCCTATGGGCGGGCTTAAAAATACATTATTATTACAACATAATGGCCCATTAACGATTCTTTGTTGCAGGACCAAAACATATACCTTACGAACCAGGAGATGTTGAATGTTGACCGTGACTTATTCGGCCCGAACAACCCTCACTCCTTCCTGCGATCTTGCTACATTCATTTCCTTAAAAAAGATAGCTTTACCGCCACCAAAGCTAAGTTATTCAGTGCCACAATATGCGATCTGCATTCGTCGAATCTTACGCATGTCATATGCGAAAATATTAATGGCGAAGAAGCGAATAAATTGAAGACAACAATACAGGCACACATCGTTTCTAAATTATGGCTAGAAGAGTGTTTTACTCAGAGAAAGTTAGTTTCCGAATCTAAATTCTTGTCATGCTAGCACTTCACAATTTACATGACTCATCGTATTTTTGCTATTTGTAAACTTGATAGTTGTATGTCCTTGTCATGCTCTATAGAGAATGAAAAAGATAGAGTGCTGTCAAGTTAACAAATAGGCAATAGGAAATACACATAGCCATGTGAAGGGCAGTCATTTTATGTATCCTCGTGTTTATTTTTGCCAATATTTGTGATGCTTGTTATTTAATATTAATCGAGATTTTAATTCATAAGTTTAACTACTGTTTTATTACGCTGCTGTAAAAAGATGCCATCACCAGAATGCCGGTTCCATGCCTGAAAACTAAAAATGGAATCTAGTAAACCAACTATAGATTTTGAAGAATTCTGAAAATAAAATCATATACCTATACTTTGACTAAGGTCGTCTTCTTATTTTTCCATAACCAGACTTAGTATCTATATTGAATAGCAATTTATACGCTCGAGACTGCTTTATATTTTAAAAATTGACATTGCACAGTCAAGGAGCAGAGACTGAGAGACACCCATGAAACTAACAACTGTCTAGAAATAGTGAAAGCGATGTTGCAGTCAATAGCTATATATACCTGCTTACTATTGGCCGCAAGATCACTTCGTTTCTGTTACACACAGTCGTCTGTAAACTGCCTGTTCACTAAGGACAGGCAGCCGTATGACCTCTTCTTGGTCATTCTTGATCTTTCCCCCGAGGGAAAGAAAATGTTCTCTATCAAGACCATTTGTCACTTATCAAATATCTGCGTGGAGTTCCCACGTAATGATGATGGCATTGGCGGACAATGCCATCATCATCATCAGCCTATTAATGTCCCCACTGCTGGCGCACAGGCCTTCCCTATGGATGGAATAGGGAGATTGGGCCATGACCTACCACGCAGGCCCAGTGCGGATTGGCGGATGCCACCGACTGCAGATGCAGCCGGGACCAACGGCTTAACATGCCTTCCGAAGCACGGAGGATCTTTAGATAGAAGATTTTTGGTCACCCATCCAATGACCGACCACTGCGAAAGTTGCTTAACTTCAACGATCGCAGCCGAAAGCGCTAACCACCCGCGTCATCGAGCTTCTCAATGCCATAACTGCCAGTTATACGGACACTTGGCCCGGTTCTGTTTCGCGCGTGCTCGTTTCGTCAAGTACACGCCCGACAACGGGACGAAGGATTGCCCACGACCGAGGGTCCCGGTACCGGAAAACCCGCTGGGCTGTGTTCTCTGCAGCGGCCAGCTCACCACGAACTACCGCGGCTGTCCTAAAGCCCCGCAGAGAGCAGAGACCGGCGCACGGGCGCCCGCGGCTCCCCTCGCTCAGGGAACGATCTTCCTCCGCCCCGCTACCATACTCGCGGCCCCCGCACCCAACGCATGGTGGAAGGTGGCTTCTTAGCCACCGACAACCTCCCCCACGGTCCCTCGCAAGAACCTTCCTCGGGCTCTCCAAGCCGCCGGCGACCCAACCCACAAAACACGCCTCCGCAACTGCGTCCGCTCCTTCTGTCTCAGGGAAACGCGATGGCCCTTGGCTCTGGCGATTCAGACGCGGATTTCGCGATCAGGATCGCTACCGCTATCGAGCCCGTGGAGCTCAAGGCTCTAGGGGTCAAATTCGGGGAAGCTACGAGTAACATTGTTATGATTACCCGTATCTTCACGGAACACCGCGCACTTCTCACCGCTATCCGCGCGCTCACCATCCCCTCTTCTTAATGGCGTTCTCAAGGATCAAACCGCCGTCTCTCACATTAGCGTTCTTCAACGCTAACGGTCTCTCCAGTCAGAGTGCGGAAATTGCTAATTTTTTAGTAAATCACGCGATACATATTTTTTTATACAAGACAGTTTTTGAAACCGTGCATTCGTGGCCCACGCATTGCCAATTATAACTTAGTACGGAACGATACGAACGAACGATAGAGACGGCTGCTGCGGTGGCACTCTCATCTACTACAAGCGGACGACGCGGTCATTATTGCCGGCGACCTCAATAGCAAACACGTGCAGTGGAGTTGTAACACAACCAACCGTAATGGCAGGTTGCTTTCCAACTTCTCTAACACTTTGGTGTTTGAAAACATAGTGCCCCTCACACCCACCCACTTCCCTTCCCAAGCAGATCACACTGCTAATCCCCTAGACATGGCCTTACTAAAGAACGTAGCACTTAGGCTGCGTTCGATAGAAACGGTCCATGATCTCTCTTCCGACCACAACCCAGTTGTCTTACAATTGGGCCCTCCCTCTGTCCTCCCAACCTCAAGGACAGTGACGAACTGAAGAAGGGTCGAGAAACTACTCGAACCCTCCGCCAACTCGCCTCTTAACTCCATCCCCGACTACATAACCTCCTCTCACGACACCCTCTCTTTGATCGGAGCCCCCTCGAGCCATCTCACTTCCGCAATAAGCGAGGCGTCCCTACAGGTTCCAGCGATGCCAGGTAACGGATAGAATACATAACCTGTACATATAGCATTCGTTCTCCAGTCATGGATGTTTAATATATACTAGTTGTGCCCCGCGCCGCGGTGCTACCCGCGTTTTATAAGGGATCTTTTTTGTTTTTGTAAAGTATCTCAATAATTTTCAGAGTTACGAAAAAAATGTTTGAATTAAAGTTGGAGAGCATGAAATTTTCTACAAATTTTGTATAAAACTTTTTCTTGTAAAATGATTAGTTGCTGAGTTCTAGCGCAATAAAAGATCATGAAAATCAGCGGTAAGTGGCAATACGTTACTCTCGCATGCAAACAAATAAAAAATGGTTGCCTGTAAAGTCGGTTTTACGGGCGAAGATTTTACGTGACAACGTCTTTTTCTCGGTAGAATATTTATTGATATGAATATAATTAAATTGCACAATAGGAACAAGGAATTGAATGAAAATAAGAATTGCACAAATTTTAACTATAGAAATATATTTTGTTTACTAAAACATTGTACATGTAAACTTAAACTCATCGTAACGTTACCGAGCGTTACACTTTTTCATAAGTGACTCCCAGCCGCAACCTAATTTAAGACGTTGTCACGTCAAAAGAAGCTTAAGATTTGTATTTATGTATACGACTGAAGGACTTGTATCCATGGTCATGAAAAATTATATAAAAAAAAGATCTGCTTTGCCCGTCTCAACAGGGACAAAGTAACCAAAAAAAAAAAAAAAAAGATCTGCGTTTTTAATTTCCTCATCTGGCAATACTACTTGGTGCCGTGCCATGCCTTTGTTCGTGTTTTCTTTATTTGATAAAAACACAGATTTTAATTTAATTTAAAAAACGAAATGAAGCGTAAAATATCCAGTTTAGATGATCAAGAGGCGAGGTATAAAATTACGAATATCAATATAAAATTTGTTCAGGTTTTGCAATAACAATATAACCTTTATTTATTAGTAAATATAGATGATAGTGATCCCAATTCTGTTAAAAAGGATATCTATGAACTTGAGAATGTAACAAGTAATGAAATTGTGAAATCGTAGTTTATCAATTAAGCCGGGTTCTGCGATTTATGTAACATGTACCTATATTGTATGGCTTTTTTTAGGTTGTCACAGCTTTTATTCAGCAAGTCTAAGAATTTGGTTGAAAAATTAATACCTTTGGAGAATATAGACCATAATGAAGATCTAAAACCAGTCTGGGAAGACGAAGATGACCTACAGTATAACATAAAAAATGTCAACTCAAGTACTAATGCTGCCAGGTTGAAACAAAAGTTTGAAAACCTAGTAGGCACGTCACGTCAAAAGTATAACTTTACAATATCAACAATAGGGGGAAAAGTTTGGTATAAAAAAAGATGGGAAATTTTGTTCTCTACAAAAAAGATCTCTTCGGTTTTTAACGTAAAACTTACCGTTTCCGAGATATATGCAAAAAAACGGTTTCCAAGATGGCGGCTAACGCTCGCAGTTTCGGGCGACAGAAACTCGGTTTTATACTTGGGGGGCACCCTCCGACATAATCCAATCGAAAAATAACGTAGAAGGATTTTATGCAGAGCGGACATCTAAAAATCTTGGACTAATAACACAAGCCTTACAGTGCTTACTTTGGGGCTAGACTAACTGGTGTGAGTGTTGGAAATATTTATTTTTTATTTATTTATTTATACTAGGTTGGCATTAGGTAGACACCGTACCCGTAGGATAAGAGTTCGAAGGCCCGGTCTATACACGACACGCTATACCAGGTACAGGTACGTACCTGGGCGTTTTCTTCCGTCCCCCATGATAACGGCTATCTAGAGCCGAGGTCAGAGGTTCAAGTGGTCTAGAGGCTCCAGACGGAGAGGAGACTTCCCCCCTGGGGTGATACCATCCGCCTGACCTCTAGCCTCTACTCGGCAATTCTCGCCTTGAGGTCCCCTTAGGATCTCGCCTTTACCAAACGGTTCCCGGTGACGCTGTAAAGGTCATCCGCGACTGCGGCTAACAGCATACACACCCGTTTTACTGTATAATTGGAAAGTGAACGCTCAAGCCATTCATGGTCCATTTCTCCATAGCTAAAAGTCCGAATAGTAAGGAAAATCATATTAAACTAGAGTAGAAACCTATTAAAGAGGGTTGTGCTAATTTAATTAAAAGAAGTGTTCACTTTAATTGGACAATTTATACAGAGGCGGCTTTACCTATAGTACAGGGTGTGTGTGCGGTGCACACTGGCGCCAGGTCTAAGGTGCCGGGCGCCGAGCGCCCTCTACTCTAATACGATGATATGTTAAGTTTCCATATTTCAAGTTACTGAAATAAGTAAAAATCACTGAAAAATAAGTATTTATTGCTAATTTGAGTAAACCGACAATTACCGGTTCAATGCTTTTATATAATCTGTGGATTCAATTTAGATGCTCTTGTACAGCTGTCAACTGTGCTCATAATTTAGTTAGTTCACAATTCCAGAATACCAATTCTCTCAACCTAAACTAAAATTAGCTCTCTAATTTTAAGTTAAGGTTTAGATAATTTAACGCCAGAATCGGTCCCAATGTCTTGCTTTCGGAGAAGATCTGAAAAAAAAAATCCACTCTGATAATGGTAACTTTTTAAAGCTGGTTGAATATACCTCGAATTTTGATAATTTGCTTGCGGAACACATTGCCCTTATTCAAAACTCTGACTCACGCCTAACTCATTATCTTAGCCATAATATTCAGAATGAACTAATGCAATTATTAGGAGAAAGAATAAAAAGAAATATTGTTTTGGAATTGAAACAATCCAAATATTTTTCAATTATTTTAAATTGCACTCCAGGTGTATCAGTTGTCGTACGGTACGTCCTTTTAAATGCAAGCAACAACAAGACTGAAGTAAAAGAACACTTTTTGGATTTTTTTCCTATTACAGACACTACTGGCCTGGGTTTAACTCAATTTTCGTTAGATTGTTTAATCTCAAACCAAATTGAAATACAAGATATGCGTGGTCAAGGTTACGATAATGGTGCAAACATGAAAGGGAAAAATGTAGGTCTTCAAAAACGAATTTTAGATATAAACCCGCGCGCATTTTATGTACCATGTGCGGCACATAGCCTACATTTGGTAGTGAATGACGCTACAAATACTTGCTAAAAAAGTGCCAACTTTAAGATTAAAACCACTCTCTATGTTTTGAACTGGGAAAAGTGTATGATGCCTTGTTTACCATATATTCCTATAGGAGCAAAGATGCGGAGTCAAGAAATATGGCAAATTCATTACTGGGAAAAATTAAGTCGCTTAAATTCATCTGCTCTCTGCTTATTTGGTTTGAAATTTTAAGCAAGATAAATATAATTAGCAAGGTACTTCAAAAAACAGTCGTTGTATTGTCAGAAGCGGTGAAAATGATTGATATTGGTATCGATTCTGGCATGATTCTCTAAAGCTAAACTTAAATTTGACAACAGTGTATCCTTGTTCCATTCTCTATATAGAATAAAAAGGGCAGACTGATATCAAATTTAGTTTTAAGTTTAGAGAATGCTGCCAGAATCGACACCATTGCAGAAATAAGTTTGTCTGAATTCCGTAATGACTCCGCTTTTGAAAAGCTCCTAACAGCGCGAATACTGTAGCGGAAGAAGTCATGGCAATAGCAGAATTTCCCACACCTGCACGCCCTCGCGCTCGTAAAAGGGTTTTTAATTATGAAGCGGAGTATGAACCGATCACAGACGCGAAAACACATTTTAAAGTAAATTTTTACTACTATTTATTAGACACCGCAATTACTAAGTTCGACGAACGGTTATAACTTCTCAATCAAAATAATGTAGTTTTTCCATTTCTTCAAAAATTGACACACTGGAAGGATTTGGACTTGGATACAAAAAAAGCACATTGTTCTAATTTAGAAGCTGGCTCTGTGGAAAAGTTCGAGTTCTTTAATGAAATCGAATTATTACCGATGTTTATTGATGATTCCACTACACCGTTGGATATTTTAAATTTTATTCGTATTATTTATGTTACTGTTGTGCAATAAAGTGATATTATCTTATCTTATTGTCGCTAAATAGATTGATTATCGTTAATAAGTATTGAATATAAAATCAAAATTGAAGTCAGTGACATTGTTAAAGATTTCGCTAATGCAAAAGCACGAAAAATATTTTTTTTAGTAAAAACATTTGTTTGTGTGTACGAGCGTCCTGTAAGATATTATAGTTTTAGATTAAAAGAACTACTTACAAAGTTGTGATTTTTTTATTGTTGTAATTTGCACTCAATTTGTTTATGAAAATATAACTGTAAATATTCCATTTTGACCCCGCTCCTACTAGGGGGCGCCAGGGTACTGGTGGCACACTGGCGCTACAAGGGCTAGAGCCGCCTCTATTTATAAGAGGATGAAAAATGGCCTCCGTAGTGTGTGTATCACCAGCAGGGTTGGATTTAGGTTTGTTGAAAAAGATAGCACAAAAAAATGAAAAGGATAGTATTTATAAAAAAAATATTACACTTTCATTATTTTTTATTTAATGTATAATAGTCAATAAAACCAACACTTAATGCAATATTTACTCCTAAATACTCTTAAGTCTATGAGTTCTTGAATATAACTATTAGTTCTATCTTCATCCTTGGCATTTAATCTCATCAAAATATTCTCAGTAGGAATAAAATCAATTCCCACTTTTGCTACCGCTTTTGATGCCACTTTCCATAATTAAAACACTGAACACGTATTGTTTTACACAAAAACTCGCAAGTGATTGTTAAAACATTGAGCAAACTTTGATTGAGTTTCTAATGGAATGGAAGGAACGAGATTAGTGGAAAGACAGAAGTGTACTGTGGAGGATAATTAGGAATCCCCGGCCATCGTCACAGAAAACATTGCATGATCAGAATTCGGTTAGATACAACATAATATGACGTAAAACTAAGCATTCGGAAGCAAACTTTAAATTATAGTATTTAAGCGTACTATCCTGAGATGTGGATAGTATATAGTACAAAAGGCGAATTCATAATATAAATACTGTAATTATAGTACAAAATCCAACCCTGATCACCAGGCCCGTTTTTTTTTTGGTAACAGTGATTAGTCCTGTTTGCATAGATATTTAAATATCTATGCTTGTTTGTAATACGTCCATGCTATATTCTGTGGAAGTATGATTCGTGCGATTGTATCTGTGGCCCTGTCGCAAGTAATATAATGCGACAAAATAAAATTGCTCGTTATTTGACAGGAATAGCGCTAGCGTCGTATGAGTTCTCACGGCAATGTTGCGGACTAGCGATTCTATAAAATTGTTTTCAAAGTGGTAGCCTTATAAATAAATATTCGTAGAAGATTCTGGAAGCGAGCGCATGGCATTTTTCAATCGACTGTTCTACAAAATTCCTCGACGAGTGTTCATAAAACTTTTGTCAGTCAGTTAAACGTCATTCAGTTCTCGAACGTGTGATCTCAATCGACCACAACGTGTTCATAAAATAAACGTGTGTTTTACGGTCCAAATAGGATATATTTCTAGTAAATTGCGTGTTCTTTTTTGATTAAAGTGGTTTTAGTTGTGGTAAGTCAATTTCATATTTATAAAACTTCAGTTTTTTTGCTAGTAGTTGATCCTAGCTCGCTTTGTGCGCTGCTCTTTCTTCAATCCTCATGTAAGCATTGTAATTTCGTTAAAGTCATTAGCGCAACAAAAGTGCCTACCTACTACTATCAAGTTTCATTCAGTTCTATTGATTTTTTCTTGTAAACGATAGCTTCTAGACATCAGCTGGTCTGGTCATTGACAGTGTCGTCAATAATTTTGCTCCATTGTTACCACTTGTAACATATAAGTCTAGTTTATATTTAAAATATTATTATTGAAGTAGGTACTGAAATTATGATGTTTAAACTAGACAATACCAACAGAATATACAACATTACGAGAACATTCTATTTTAAAACAAATCGCAAAATTAGCTACATTGATACTGACCACAACTTTATATCAAAAGTGTGGATGTAATTGTACTTAATTAACTTATACCTACTTTATTATTAGCTTGGAAGATGGTGAAGGAAACAACATACTATGATATACTTGGTGTCAAAACCAGCTGCACCAATGATGAACTTAAAAAAGCATACAGGAAACTAGCACTCAAATATCATCCTGACAAAAATCCAAATGAAGGTGAAAGATTCAAACAGATCTCGCAAGCTTATGAAGTATTATCTAACCCAGACAAAAGAAGAATATATGACCAAGGTTTGTATATACCTTATTTTTACAAACATTGCAAGACGTTGGGAACATTTTGCCATGCCTATCAAAAGGTAGCAAACACAAATAAAACCTATTTCAATGGGTAGATACAATTATCTACTTTATCTGTGTGCAATTTTTATTTCTATAACCTATATGAATGCTGAGAACATGAGGTTTTTGTATCAGCGAGCCTGTAAAGCAAAAATAAGATAGAATCCATATCTGTTTGCAGTGGGGTATTCTTCTATTGTGAAGTACCCAAATTCCTTTATACACTTTAAAAATGTCTCATTTTCAAATACTTTTTACAGGAGGTGAACAAGCTTTGAAGGAAGGCGGCGGTGCTGGTGGATTCTCTTCACCCATGGACTTATTTGACATGTTCTTTGGCGGTGGCTTCAGTGGTGGCCGTAGACGTGGCAGGGAACGTAGGGGCAAAGATGTTATTCACCAATTATCTGTTACTCTAGAGGAATTATATAGAGGCGCAGTGCGAAAATTGGCTTTACAAAAGAATGTTATTTGTGACAAATGTGAAGGTCGAGGTGGGAAAAAGGTTGGTTGAAAAAGAAAAAGTGGGAAAACAACAATTTTAATTAAAAACCTATCTCCTTGATCCCAAGAAATATAAAACCTTTGTTTACTTACATGTAAATTAATAATATTTATCTCTTTATTTATACAGGGTGCTGTACAAACATGCCCTACTTGCCGAGGTACTGGAATGCAAGTTCAGATCCAGCAGCTTGCTCCTGGTATGATCCAACAGATTCAGACTGTCTGCAGTGAATGCCGAGGGCAACGTGAGATCATTGACCCGAAGGACCGTTGCAAAATTTGCCAAGTATGTACTTTTATATATATAAACTCAAAGGTTTGATAACCATCATCAAATCCTTTGAGCTGTATCAGTGATTTCAGTGGTATCTCATTCAATAAAGTAAACCTGGGGCACAATACAAAAGGATAAGCTTATAGGTTTATTACTATGATAATTGTACCTAAATGTTAAAATACATTAAGTTTATTTAATTTGAAAACAATATTAAGTTGAAAGATTTAAATATCCAGCAGTTAAATGCAAAATATAAATATCATAAAAAACAATGTTTATTAATAATTTGCATTGACACTTCTGTGTGTGTAGGAGTAACCTTGGCTAGCCAACCTATGATTGCCAAGGTCAATTTGTAATAAGTTGTGTAAACATTATATTATTGAATATTCTAGAACAGATTGATGAAAAATTATCTTAATATATATAAATCTCGTGTCACAATGTTTGTCCTCAATGGACTCCTAAACCACTGAACCGATTATAATAAAATTCGCACACCATGTGCAGTTCGATCCAACTTGTGAGATAGAATAGTTTAAATCTCAAATTATAGTCGCAATTTTAATTTATTGCAAATTATTACTTTTGGGCGGTACGAAGTTCGCCGAGTCAGCTAGTTCTCCTATAAAATAACAAAAACCAATAAGTTTTCCTTTTGTTACAGGGTCGTAAGACAGTCCGCGATCGTAAAATTTTAGAAGTTCATGTTGACAAAGGTATGTCTGATGGACAAAAAATTACATTTAGCGGTGAAGGCGATCAAGAACCTGAGCTAGAACCTGGTGATCTGATTATTGTTCTCGATGAGAAGGAGCATGATGTAAGTATAAAAGGGTTCAAAGTTTTCTTTCATATAAAAAGATTTTCTGATTACTTTTATTATTGAAGCTAAAAAATTAATAAATTGAGACCATCATTGTGTTTGTTGCAGGTATTCAAACGGTCTGGTAATGATCTCGTTTTACGATTAAATATTGAGCTAGTGGAAGCATTGTGTGGATTCCAAAAAGTTATAAGGACTCTAGATGACAGGGACATTGTAATAACAGTCTTACCTGGAGAAGTCACAAAGCATGGTGAAGTGAAGTGTGTCTTGAATGAAGGTGTGTATTATTTAATGTACCCATTTGAAAATAAGAAAGTTAAATGCAAAGTTAATAAAAATATTAGTAATTATTTCTAACTTACATTGTTATTTCGCTGATTTATATTTCATTGTTTAATTTTTCAGGCATGCCAATGTACAAAAATCCATTTGAAAAAGGTCAACTCATCATTCAATTCTTAGTTAATTTCCCTAATCGCATTCCGCCTGAAGTCATTCCTGCATTGGAGAACTGTCTGCCATCTCGCCCTAGGGTAAGTATTTTTAATATCTAAATCTAGATTGTTTTAATGAGTTTATCAATTTTATGAATGCCTTGGTTCTTTTACAGTTAATTGATTTATTAATTACGTAATTGTCATTTAATAGCATAACAAAACTTTGTGAGTCAAATCATATCTACTATTTCTTATGATCAGAATCACATTAGGAACATTCGATACGACACGATAAGCGGTAAAAAAGAGTAGATTTAATTTATCATGTGATGATGGGTCTCGTTGCGTTTCAAAATTCTTTTTCTGCCTTATGACTTACTACAAGAGTTCTGTTTGATCTTTATGGTTTTGATTTTATATATATTAGTTCACTCAAAGTTCAAGTACGTTTTATCATTTCAAACGTAGGTATCCCAAGTTTACTGAGTACTTAGAATAATCACCTAACTCATAATGGAACAACATTGCAGAATATTACTGAACTTTCAAACAATTATTTAGAATAATGATATTTTTCACAAGAATTTTAATCTGAGGGCGCGCATCAACAACTAAACTGTCTAGCAATTAGGAATGATATTCATGCCGAAAGAATAGATTATTTTAATAGTGTTGATTTTAATTATTTGATTATTGCACATATGGCTCACCTTAATATGTGACTCGAAAATAATATGGTTTATAGAATGAAAAGCTGTGGGATGAGTTTGATTTTATTTATAAAAGTTATAACAAAATAAAAATGTAGTTAATCACTATCAGATTCAACATTAGAATGTTGACGACAAACAAACAAAGAATTGAGTAAGAGAGTTCATCTTGTTTGTACTATAATAGTTGTTAAATTGATCTATGATAACTTGATCTATTTAGATCTCAGCTCTGCATTTTATTCAAAAGAGAAGAAACCTTACTTAATAAAATAAAGAAACAAACTGTTTTGAATGTGCAACAATGTGTGAAGAATAGGATAAAAAAATATTTTGGACTGTTAATGGCTCAAGAGTTGATATAATTATATGGTCATGTGTACAAATAGTTTTGAAGAATTTTTAAAGTATCGTAAGGCAAAAAAAAACCCTACATGTTGGTCAATTTTCATCTCGGTTTTTTATTAACATTTTCAAAATTCCCGATGGTACATTCCCTTTAATTAGTTACGTACATCAGTGTAGAATTGATAATTGGAAAAAAAATAAGATTTTCACAAATGAAGTAAACATTTAAAATATGGGTGTATATTGGGTTTAAACCAAAGCACCGTATTTAAACCCTGGGCTTTGCCTTTCATTAGATAAATGTTTCTTTTTAAATTTAAAGCTGTCTTGTCTATGTGAGACAACATTGTCTTACAAATGCTGTGACTCTAGTCTGCGCTCAGCTTTACAACTGAATTATTGTACACATTCGTCAAACATTCTTATGTAATGCAAACAAAACTTTAAAATTCAACAGTTTCCATTCTACACTTATTGTTGTTGTTTATATTTTTTACATCCATATTTGTTTCTTAGGTTTTCACGCACACCACTCATTAAATAAACGTCAATAAATAAATCAGAGCATCCAATCCATTGAAACATTGATTTATTTTTACATCCACCTACCTTCCTAACGCGTTTGTAATTTTTTTGTAGCCATGCCAAATTACTTACTGTTACTACGTTTTATGCTGTCAGTATATATAATTATTGGCACATTGATAAGAGCGATAGAGGAGCTCGATGGCGCAGGTGGTTAGCGCCTTCGGCTGCGATCGTTGAAGTTAAGCAACTTTCGCAGTGGTAAAAATTTACTATCTGGAGTTCCTCCGCGCTTCTGAAGGCACGTTAAACAGTTAGCTCCGGCTGCAGTCGTTAGCACCCACGAATTCGCACTGTACCCGCGTGGGACCTAATGTCCCCATTCTATCGGTAGGGGAAAGCCTGTACCCCAACAGTGGGGACATTAATAGGTTGATGAAGAACGATAGATTATCATTATTATTGTTGTCGTCAGGTTGAAATTCCCGAATTGGCTGAAGAGTGCCTACTGATGGATTTGGACCCGGAGCAAGAGAACCGTCGCCGCCGCCCGCCCGGCCCCGCGTACGAGGAGGACGACGAGCACCCCGGCATGAACCGCGTACAATGCGCCACCGGTTAGAAGCCCGGCGGCCTCTGCCTAACTGTACCGCCGATGGACCTAATCCACAGCTATAATAAAGAAATGCCATAACAAAATGGCTAAAATAAATGATTATACATTTTAATCACATATTTGTATACACTTCCGGACACATCTATCGGCCCTTACCCTAAAAATGTTACATTGAGAAAAAAACCGACCCCGCATACAAGGGGGACGACGAGCACCCCGGCATGAACCGCGTACAATGCACCACCGGTTAGAAGCCAGGCGGCCTCTGCCTAACTGAATATACCGCCGATGGACCTAATCCTTAAACATGTTACTTTGTGCAAAAATTTATTACCTACACAATTTTGAAGCTGATTTATGAACCACTTCGTTTGTTTTTAAAATTATTGCTTGACATTAAACATATATTTTTGCTGCAGACCATTGAAACTCAAGTTATAACTTATAACATTAAAGGCCCGTATTATAGAAAGATTCTCAGTGATTGATCTAGTCTTGAGCGTAGTTGGAAAGGGATGTCGCTATATATAGCACATAGCGATATCTCTTTCTAACTGTACTCGAGTAAAGATCAACACTTAGTTGTCATTCTGTAATACGGACCTTAGTGTGCCGATAGATTTGTACGGAGGTAAATTTATATTTATAGTATTAGATTGTTTAGAGTTAAAACGGTTTGGAAGCGAAACAAGCTTAGATAGTTACTGCATAATTAGTTGTTTGCATTTTAGAATATATTTTCTATTTTTTTTTTTATATTTGGTTGTTTGTATTGGTTCACAAAGCACTACCGGATAGTAGTTGAGTTCTCTACAGTGTAACTTCTATAGTATGTATATTGTTGTCCAATGTGCAATGGAAGTGTATGCTATTGCCTGCTTATATACCCTTATGCTGCAGTTTCGAATCTTGTAAGATGCAAATATAGAAGTGTTCATACTGTTATTCACTACATTATAACCTGGTATTTACTTATTTTATTTAAAATTATTAAATAACCACGTTTAACTTATATACCCTTTGGTCGCGGTTTCAAATCCTGTAAGACAAATGTAGACAATAGTTCACACTGTTTTTCACTTTAAACACCATGTACATATTAACTCATCTGTATCTGACATTTATTCTATTGTTTTTTTTTATATTTAATATTATTGTCTCTTAACTTATAAGATTGTTTTAGTTAATTTTAACAACAGAAGAGATGTTTCATTTTCGTAACTCTTGATAAAACTGACAAGCACTTAGGGTAGTATGAAGCTACTAAGGAGTATTTACACCTAATTTAGAGTAATTCATGTATGCATAAGAGGAAAAGCTGCCTGATTGTTTTATTTATAATATCGTATTAAATAACATATAATTATAATGTAGTAGAAAAATTGTAACTAATACCTGCGTTGCATTAGAAAACCTGATCTTGGTCCATTGGCATAGTGCTAAAATGTAACTATAATTTTCTGTGATTTTTCGTCATAGCATAGTTGATAGTTTTTATATTAATTATTATCTCATTGCCTACATTACCTTAATTCTTTTTTATCTGTGCACTGTTAGTCAATTTCGTAATATTGTAGTAATATTTTTCATTTCTATATTATGTCATTTGTATACAGAAAAAAACTAAAGTATAGTCTACCTACACAGAGTTACAGACACAAATTCAGTGTAATATTGACCTATTTGAACTCTCTAAGTTTTATGTTTCATTATTTAAGATAACAAATTTCGATGCGTTTTAAAATTTATAAGTTTCATATTTTGTGTTCTTTCCATGTCAATGTAACAGAATTCAATATACTTAGTAAGGTACTTATAAAACTCTTCTTTTTGTGACAGTCTAGCAATGAATTGGCTCTTTGATATTATTTTAACAGTTTTTTTAAAGGATGTGTATAGTCATTCAAATCAATCTTAAATAAAAACACTTTTTCTCGTGAAATTGCTTTTTTATTTATTTTTGTCATAATTATCATTTTTGTGCCAACACATCAACTGTAATATTTGCAGCGCCGCATGGGCACAACCTTTAAGAATTTCAAAAATAGGTATTTATGAGAATCTGTAGTACATTGACAATTTTATATTGTTTTAAACTTTCATGGTCACTAACATTATAGTAATATATGTTATTTCGGCACTGTTGCAAGCGCCATGATCACGGAGTAACTAGTGAGTTTCTCCGTGATCATGGCGCTTGCAACAGTGCCGAAATATCGGAAACTCGCTAAAAACAAGGTACATGGTAACAATCCCGTTAATAACATATATTGACAATTTTTATGTCTAAACACCTTTTTCCGGTTTATCATGCACTGAAGTAAACAAAAAGGTAATCCCATACTATTATTTACAAATGCAAATCTTTCCGTTACCTCTTCACGTCTATTAAACTACTGAACCGATTTTAATAGAATTTGGTATAGATATAATAAACCAGTCTTGGGAAAGGACATAGGATAGTTTTTGTCATAAAAATCATCAAGAGGGGTTGGAAGTCTGTAAGGGAAACCAATATTTCCTCGTAGAAGTCACGGGCATCTACTAGAATTTTTTAGCTTAGTAAATTAACGTGGCGATATGGGTGTTTGGTTGAAGGGGTAAATTTTTAACTATCTGCCCCCCGTATATACTGATATATCTCCACTAGTAGGAGTATATGGAACTTTCTATTCCATATATCCCTACTGATTCACACCAGTAAGGATAAGTTTTTAAGGGTTTCGTGGTCAACTTAGTTTCCTGAATAATTTATATAAGAAAGAAATCAGTCGCAATAACATTTTTTAAATAAACAAACCCAACATCCCAACTTGTAGCGATAAATGAAAAAAAAACTCCCAAGTATCCCTATAGTGGAGAAATGTCAGTAGGGATACATGGAACAGGAGATCTTTGCTACTGGCTGTCATTCCATTGATTCCACTCACACTTAACATGATGTTTATCATCATTAAGTCTATCAATGCCTGACTGGTGGGTCACATCTCAGACCTACCTTAAGAATGTACGGGAAGGGATAATAAATAAAAATTTCCAACACACTCCAATTAGCCTATCCCCAAAGTAAGGCTTGTGTTATGGGATACTAGGATAACGGATAGAATACATATTATAAGTATATTATACTGTACGTATATTTATATAGAAATACATATTAAACATCCATGACTGGAGTACAAATGCTTGTATTCATCACACAAACATCTGCCCCGACCGGGATTCGAACCCGGGACCTCTCGAGTCGGCGACACCATAAACCCGGGGTATAAACCACTCTGCCACGGAGGTCGTCTATAGGCCATAAAGGACCATAATATGGTCCTTTATAATATGGAACTACTAATAATAAAGGCTTCTTTGGACATAATCTCAGTAATCTGTGATACAGGCCGCGCGGGACCAGTGTAGATTAGTGGATGCTAACGCAACTAGGTCAAAGTGCTTTACATGTCTTTCGAAACACAAAGGTCTATTTAGGTAACACGTATATATTTATATAGATAGGTACCCAAGGAAGTTATATTACTTCCTTGTAGGAACATAATAGTTATCCCTCTTGGACCCATTCCTATTATTGGTATAAAATTTTAGGAACACGAAACCAGGGGTTTGCTCATATGACTCAGGGGCGTATTTTGAAATCTGCATGCAAGTAACACTTAATCTTCAGTTCATTAAAATTGGTGTACTCTATCAAGTTATTACAGTTCAAAGCCATGCAGACGGTACAGTAATCAAGGTAAATGTAAATGCGGTTTCTAAAGATTTTACTATAGGTATTGAGAATAGATGGCGCTGATTTATTTCTTTATATAGAAAGCACAGATCACTATATATGTAGCAATAGAAAGAGTAGTAAGATTAATCTATATATATCAATTGATGTTCGTTAGTTTCGCTAAAACATGAGAACTGATTTATGTTATCTTGGTCTTGAAATGTTCGTGGAGGCCTAGGAAAGGTTTAAAAGGTGAGAAAAATTCGAATAATTGGCGGGACAACCCTAAAAACAACGAGCGAATCCGCGGGCAAAAGCTAGTTGTAAATAAAAAGAGCTTTAGCTTTGTGAACTTCATATTTTTTATTTGCGTTGTTTCAATGCATATATTTTTATTTAATAGATAAGTTATTTTTATCGCATCTTTGAAAAAGAGCTATTATAGTTAGTATTCGGTTTACAGGGACCAAAATAGAGTTTAAATACCTAGATCAGCAGGACTAAAAGTAATTTGAATTAGGACTATGGACATTGATTAAAAGTTTCAGTCATCAATGTGTCTGTATGGCAATTTATGAGCAAGTACAGCAATTTTAATGAAATAAAGATAAATGTTCAATTCCAAATCCAGCTGCGTGGAGGGAAACTTTCAATCTCTGCAGTAACCACTTTCTCCATTGTTTGCTTACTCCAGCAGTACGTTTTTTTTAAATAGAAACTGGTTTCTTTCATCTGAGGATCAGTTTTTAAAGAAACACTGAAATAGGTACACCAGGTTTTTTGCATTGTAGCATTATTCATTTGCTGTTCCTCCATTAATGACATAACTAATTATACATATATCAACTGGGAGTCTAACAGAACTATGTTTAGTGTAGTGGGCTCTCATACTGTAATTCTTTGCATAAATCAATCAGTACTTACAAGAATGTCTTTAAATTCTTAGACGCACAGTACAAATAATGCTCAATAGGAATATTTATTAACTACTCTTTTAATAAAATAAAACAATGATGTTGGTAATAAATGTAATGTGTAGGGAGGTACATATTTAGTAATTCTTATAATATTTCAGTCTGTACAATTTGGCACATCCTTTATCATTGCCTATAGTCATATATCCACTATTAGGAGAAAAATTAACAGTTGTGATTTTGGACAACTTTGCAGACTGATCGGGAAAGTTTGCAAAAACATGATATGATGGGATGTGAACTAGTTTTACAGCATTTGGAATCAATTCTGAACAGGCTGCAAGTATTTCAGTGGTCGCATTAAATTTAAGATTTGAAATCTTGGTTGTCAAATTTGAAATTGTTGTGATAGGAAGTGGTTCAGTTGTGTCTAGTTTTGATACATCATAGATATTTATAATGCCTTCACAGCTTCCTGTAGCCAAAAGTCGTCCACAAGGGCTGTTTGTTATGCAAGATGCTTTCACACAGCCATTATCATAGAATTTCTTTATAGGTCTAAATGTTGATAAATCCCAAATTGTGATCACACCTTGTGCATCATAACAATAGAGTTGTTCACTATTGTGGTTAAATGTCAATGATTCTATTATTGAATTGTGTTTCAGACATCTCAAAAGTTCCTTTGATGCTGCACTTATCAAAAATACTTCATCAAAGCCATCTGAAACTGCAATATAACACCCATCAGGTGATAACTGGAACAATTTCGGTGCTTTCGATACCTGCGGTAATTGATATAGTCTTGGCTGAGCTTTTACTAGATCATAAACACAATAACTATTGCTTAGATTTGTAGCCAGATATGCTTCTGAACCACTGGGGGTAAATTGAGCTGCGTGAGTTTTCCACTTTTGAAGTTTGAAACTATGTAATTTGTTATTTACATCTCCGCCAATAGAAATTATGGATACAGTACCAGCAGTGCCACCAACAAGAGCTACACTCAACTTTGGATGGAATTCAATACATGATATAATTCGCCCTTCATTATGAGTTTCTTTATTTATATGTGGCAAGACTTTAACTTCAAGATAATCAGTAGGCAGTTGCACATTTTTCTTCTTTTTAATATGACCAACTGTTCTTAAAATTTCACTATCTTCTTCTTCTTCGTTGTTTGACTTTTGAATATTTATCTTTGCCCAAGCTGGTGTGCCTACTAGGTTTTCAAACTTTTGTTTCAACCTGGCAGCATTAGTACTTGAGTTGACATTTTTTATGTTATACTGTAGGTCATCTTCGTCTTCCCAGACTGGTTTTAGATCTTCATTATGGTCTATATTCTCCAAAGGTATTAATTTTTCAACCAAATTCTTAGACTTGCTGAATAAAAGCTGTGACAACCTAAAAAAAGCCATACAATATAGGTACATGTTACATAAATCGCAGAACCCGGCTTAATTGATAAACTACGATTTCACAATTTCATTACTTGTTACATTCTCAAGTTCATAGATATCCTTTTTAACAGAATTGGGATCACTATCATCTATATTTACTAATAAATAAAGGTTATATTGTTATTGCAAAACCTGAACAAATTTTATATTGATATTCGTAATTTTATACCTCGCCTCTTGATCATCTAAACTGGATATTTTACGCTTCATTTCGTTTTTTAAATTAAATTAAAATCTGTGTTTTTATCAAATAAAGAAAACACGAACAAAGGCATGGCACGGCACCAAGTAGTATTGCCAGATGAGGAAATTAAAAACGCAGATCTTTTTTTTTTTTTTTTTTGGTTACTTTGTCCCTGTTGAGACGGGCAAAGCAGATCTTTTTTTTATATAATTTTTCATGACCATGGATACAAGTCCTTCAGTCGTATACATAAATACAAATCTTAAGCTTCTTTTGACGTGACAACGTCTTAAATTAGGTTGCGGCTGGGAGTCACTTATGAAAAAGTGTAACGCTCGGTAACGTTACGATGAGTCTCTCGTGTTAAGTTTAAGTTTACATGTACAATGTTTTAGTAAACAAAATATATTTCTATAGTTAAAATTTATGCAATTCTTATTTTCATTCAATTCCTTGTTCCTATTGTGCAATTTAATTATATTCATATCAATAAATATTCTACCGAGAAAAAGACGTTGTCACGTAAAATCTTCGCCTGTAAAACCGACTTTACAGGCAACCACTTTTTTTACGTTAGAATATAGATGTGACGCATTCTAATGTTTCTTGGAGTTTTTAACACGAAATGCATCAAGTTGGCTTTTACGATAAGCTTCTGTAAGGTAGTCAACACTACAATAAAGTTCTTATGCCCACTTCACCGGGATAGCGTGTGGATTAAAATCTAAGCAATAGTAGAATAAAAACCAAACATTTGTAAACAAACAATAACAAATATTGATAATTAATATTGAATGATATATTTTTAATTTGCGTTCAGAAACCTTTCAGAAACTCGATTTATAACTTTCCTTTACATAAAGGATGCATGTTCGTATGTGACTTGGTAATAGTGCATGATTATTCATAACTACTCCGGTGGTAATGCAGAGATGAGCGGAATTGATGAGCTACTTTCTGATTAATGTTTTTTCTCACAGTTTTAATAAATAAATATGATTAGAAATAGGTTGTTTTTTTCTCAATATTAGTAAATAAATTTTATTTAAAAAAATATGATGTTTTTTCTCACCTTATCGTAATAAATAAAAGTTTTATTAAATAACATCTTTTTTTGCTCACTCTACCTATTTGGTTTGAATTGACAGCTATAACGCCACAATATGGCGCCCAGTCGGTCCTATTTTTCGTTGAATGGCATTATACTTATATACATAAAATACACTCGGAAAACGTTCCTTTCCGCAGTCGAGTTAAAAATACATTTCGCCATCTTGGATAACAAAATTACTGTCGTATTTGTAATCAGCACTCTCGAAAACTATGAATATAATACCCATATTATTTTTGGTTTAATTAAAAAAGGCGATTCCGATATCTGCGAGTCCGTCGCAGGTCCTCCCGCCGCTCCCTCTCGTAGGACAGAACTACAAGAGGCCATCGCTGGCCTTTCGCCTTTGATGTACGGTCGAAAAACCAACACCGACGCCATCAAAGACACTCGCACACGCCATAAGCCATCCGGCACGCTGGCCCATCAAAGGAGACTATTGCGATGGCCCATCGTGTAGTGGAGCCATAAGATAAATCGAGTCAAAAGCCTCCATTGTGACCATCTCGGGCTGGCCCTCTTTGTATCCATTTTGCATCTGTCATGATCTGACAACGTAAAATGAACGTCATTTTATCAAAGCCAAGGTTAAGTTTTTAAATTTTTGTTTTAATTTAATAGTACTCTATTCACGTGTCGACGTACTTCATATTTGTACAGTGGCCCTGGCCATGGCTCTGGTCAAATTCACAATGCTAATAGATGTTTTCTAACAGGCAACATCGAATGTAGGTAAAGCAGTTCTAATATTCTTTTTCAAAAATATTCGCCAGATGGCACTAGTGATGATCCTGTTCATGTCGCTCGCTGCCATTTCCTCATTTCTTGCCATCTCTTTTCCACTTCAAATTCTGTGTGTAGGTTTTTTGAAAGAATTCAATCTACATAAACCCGTCGCGTAATTTATTTCGTTTCGCTATTCGTTGTGTATCACTTCGCAAGTATCATTGCTAAAATATGTAACTGTCAATGAAGTAGGCTTGGTACTAATTTGGTAATTTCAAACAAAACAGTGTTTGTGAGTGAAATCATAATAGAATGTAAAAGTGGAGATGAAGCAAAAATTTTTCGCTCAGTGACCTTTCGAGCACCATCAATGTTTGGTATCAAAATGAGACCCTCAAGTATCTAAAAACCAGTAGTCTAAGACGATAACCCCGAGTTAATGTTTTATTACCAGGTAATATAACTTTTACAATGGGTTCGAAAAGGGCTCCGCCATAAAATAATCGCTGTCGTGTTTGTTTGCGTCACCATAAAACTAATGGACATATAATAACATCAATACATTGAAACTCGGTGAGAGGATGTTGCAACTGCCCCGGATCGCCGGGTGGACGTCGAGCTATGAGCGGAGGATCGGAAGCGATGCCCGGTGGAGACTGGATCGGTCCGCGCGAGGATCGTGTTTCGGTGCGTTCAGCTAGTGAGCAGTCGGGTTACGCGGCGTGTGATGTGCGTGCGCGATGTCCGGCAAGGGCGCGAGTGTGGGCGCGCCGCGAACAGGCGTGCCCGGCGCCCCGCGCGTGCTGGTGTACGTGGCGGACCCGCGCCAGCTAGAGCCCGCCGCCGTGGCCCCTGAGCCGCCGCCCGCCGCGCCGCCGCCTCCGCACCTCGACTCCCTCTACCTCCCTGACAACTTGCACCAAGTCGCCATCCCCAGGAACGCGCTCTATAGAACTCCAGACGGTTCTGAACAGAGGAATCAGACGAACACTGTTTTTTACAAAACCATCAATGATACAGATGGCAAACTTAGTGTTTTTAGTGCTTCGGATAATTTACATCACCACTCAGATTATTTTTCAGTTTCCCAACAATTCTTGAAGGACCCAAATTTAAAAGTTGAAGAATTGAAAGTGACGGATAATCAAAATACATTAAACTCTAAGCCTGACTCAGGGAATACAGTGAATCAAGTTGAGACATTTCAGTCTAGGATAGAGGCGAGTGAGCTTGCTACATATCAACGATGTACAGGCCCTATCGGTCCTGAAGGTGCTATGCCACCTTTGCACCCGGTAGCACTGCAACATGGCCAGAACCACTTTAGTGAAAGTGTTGCAGTACATGCTGGGGGTGAATGTTCCAATTCTGGTGACAGAGAATTGTCTAGGAGTTATGTGAACTATCAGTTTTTAGAACAAAGTGTATCACACCAATCAATAGTGAATCAAAGTATTAGTATATTGAATCAGCAAGTGGGTGTTAGTCGAGGTATTATCAGTGAAGGTGACAGTGGAAATGCACCCCAACTAGTGCGGACTGCAGATGGTGTTGTGTTAGCTGTGTTGCCATCGCCTGTGGTGCCAGCAGTAGCTGATAGTGCGGACCACACTTCAAGGATTACTTTGAGTGATAACACACAAACTATTGTTGTGCCCTTAGGCTGGAGAAGGATTATTAATGGCTCATCAGTGCTGTACATTAGGTACGTATATACTAAGTCCATAAAAATAAATAGTTAAATCTGTAATTCTCCCATCTACCTATTACATTGTAATATAATCAGTCCTGCTTGCTTCTTCAAAAAAATATTTTAGTATTATTGAAGCTGACATTGCAGAACAGGAATAAAGTATTATATTTTCACAAGTTAGAATTTAAACCATTACAGTGTCCATACACATGTTTCAAACCTTAAGTTTTTCATAAATTTTACCTTTCTGATACATAAAAATACATATTAAACATCCTAAACTTCGTTTTTTTATTCAATGGAATTCTGACAGCTGTAATTTTTAAACTTTACACATTAACCTTTCTGTCTTGTCCTATTTATAAGTTATTTATAGTGGTGCTGTCCTGATGAAGATAAACCGTAACATTATATTTTAGTCAACATTTTCTCCTCTACATTAACTGTTCGCTCATTGTATATCTTAATTTTTTATATCATTCTGAAAACAAGCGTTAGGTAACTTCATAAAAGCAACTTGATTCATTACTTTCCTAAAAAGGTAACTTTCCTAAAGGTATACCTTTAAATAAATTAGAGAAAACAAAACAGTTGCATCAAAATATGTTAATCGTCTGTTTTGTGAGAGTCCTTCTGGATGTGTCTGCTAATTCCAGCTTTATAACTTAGCAAAGGAGTCCCTTTATCACAAAATTATCATAAAATATTATTTTCGTATTGGAATTAACTAAATATCATCTTCATCATTCAGCCAATGCACAACACTCACTGCTGTGCATAGGTGGCCCCTAAAGATCTCCATGTTGATCGGTCCTGGGCGGTTCGCATCCAGCAGTTGTCCAAGAATGTATTATTTATCACCCTTTTTGAGGGTAGCGGAATTGTAAAGGTTCTATAATAATTCCATTACACCCGCCATGAAACTTTTTAAGTTGTTTGGAAGCCATACTTGCTTCATACAGACAACCGGAATATCTTCTGTATAGTGATGGGTAAGCTTGGCTCCTGGGATCTTTTAACTTGTTTTCAACAGGTGTTTGATTATGTCCAGTGGGTGCCGATAGAACCTCTCAATCTCCCTAAGGATTTCAAACCTATTTGAAATGATGTTACCATTGTCAGATTTAGCTTCGCCAGTGCCCAATAGATCACTTGTAAAAACTTTGGAGCCCTAACTAAAGTCCTCACTAAATTTATCAAATCAGAAATCAATATATCTTTATTCAAATTGGATGTACATTACAGCTCTTTTAAATCAACCTTATTTTTTTCCCTACCACTCATTATTGGACATATTTTTTAGCTGTGGAGAAAAATAAACTCCACAACATTAAAAGTATAATGTAGCAACATTTACAAATCATTATGTTGTTACAACGTCACTACAGTCATGATTTATTTAATATAGAAAACCTGTTGGAATTATTGGATCAGTTCAAACCTAATCATTTTTGTCTGTTATATAATCAGACACTTGGTAATAAGCATTTGTAATAAGTGCTCTTTTTATACAATCTTTGAATTTATTTATGGTTAACTCTTGGATATTGCTTGGGACTTTATAGTATAAGAGAACAGAAGACCTATAAATTATTGATTTTGTGAAGACTAGGAGCAGGTAAAGTTAGTTTATTTTTGTTTCTTATATTAAGTGTGTGAACATCACTGTTTTTAAGAAACAAATTAATATTTTTTCTTACAAGTAATAAATTTTCATATATGTATTGTGATGCAACTGTCATTATGTCAAATTCATTTCAATCTTCAAATTTCAATTCAATCAATCTGAAATGTAAAGAATCGTTAAGAGATAAGTCTCTTAAGGATTCTTTAACTTTAAGATTTAAAATTGATGAAATAGCTCTCTACTACAGCACAAAAAGTTTGAATGTCGGCGGCGTTTCCCCACAATAAAATTCCGTACGACATTACACTATGGAAATAACTAAAGTACACTAATCTGGTCGTGTCTACATCCGTTAACTGGCGTATCTTCATTACGGCATATGCTGCAGAGCTAAGTCTCTTTGACAATTTATCAATATATGGCCCATTAAAGCTTAGAATCTAAAGTAATCCCTAAGAATACTGTGGTGTCCACAAGGTCCACATTCCTATTCTTTTACACTGCTTTTTACCTGTTTTACATTAGTTCATACAAATTTTATACATTACGTTTTTTCTTCAATAAGTAAGAAATTACGATTGAACCAGTGCACTAACTTACAGGTACAACTGTTCACGTCGTCAATTACTGTTTCCTTGCATTTGAGTTTAAATAAAAGTGATGTATCATCCGCGAACAATAATACTATCTCATGATGATCTCTTACATAGAAAGGTAAGTCATTAATATAAATTAAAAAAAAAAAAGGACCAAGGATTGAGCCCTGCGGAACACCCATCTTAACCGGCGAACCCGGAGACTTATTGCCAATAATGTCAACCTTCTAAATCCTATCCCTGAGGTATGATGTAATAAGATCCAGATCGGTATCTCTAAATCCATAGTGGTGGAGTTACCTGAGTAATGTTCTATGAAAAATCAATCAAAAGCCTTGGACAAGTCGCAAAACACACCAAGAGCTTCCTGCGAGTTCTCCCAGGCGTCAAAAATTGGTTGTTCAACACCGGCATCGGTTGTTAACAGTGAAGTATACATATTATGTAAGATCAAATGAAATCACATTTTAATAAACAAATGTGATTGTATTTGATCTAAAAACATCTGGATTTTCCAGTTTCATTGTTTATAATATTTCATGTAGCGGTAATCCCGACTTTTAACTACCTATCTTTATGAAAAGTTTGCGTTAGGCTTGTGTTTGACTTATTATTAACAAGTAAGCTTAATGTAAGCGTGATGTAAGAAGACGAAATCCGCTTGCATAATGAAACGATCTACTTGTGACTGGAAGAAATCGGGCAACAGATTTGCCGGTACCAAATCCCACATTTTTGCAGTTCCCACAATAAAACCAAAAGCTAGTCTAAGCCGCCATGACCCGAAATAACGCACCGAGCAAAATGCACAAATAAATAATTTGTAATAAAACCAATCTTTGTTAAGAGTGACCTCATTTTTATTTGCATTTGTAGCTAAGTGGTTCGCATACGGCATCATTAATGTCATAGACATTTTTATTACTAATATTTATTCGAATTAATGTAATGAATACATATAAAATAAATTTGAAAATAACACTTTAGTTAGTGTGTTATTTTTTAAGGGGCATTCTCATGCACACACGCTTTGCTGGCCAGCAACGCGCTGGAGTGGCGTGGCTTAAAAATGTTTGTTCAAAGAAGATTTAAACTAATTGTGTTATGCCAAATGAATTTCAAAGCAACAAGATTCTTCTAGATCTAGATAAAGGGAACCCGTTAAAATCCAAGCATTTTTGGCTGTAATATATCAGGCACTTTTAGCGGCAACAGATTAATCAATCTTCTTCACTGAATACGATATACATATTATATAGGTAGCAAAAATTATTAATGAGTCGTTGTAACTTAATAATCAATGTATGAGATAGTTGAGCGGTAATGAATCTCACATACAAGTTAACGCAACGAGCAAGGCTGCGGATTGAACCTACGTTTAAATCAATCCGAGGCAAGTGGACAAACCAGTCGGGCAGCTGTGCACTCGGGCCTCTCGGTGCAAATGACGAAAGATAAAACTATAACTCGATTGATACCAACATGTAACATACTATCAAAGAAGATAAATTTACCTAAAATACTAAGTTACGTCTAACAAACGTCTGCATTTCGTATGTTCTTAATGAAAATACGTCGACATATTAATAAACATGAACCATTAAATGAAAAACATCTTCTAACAAAAAGAGAATAACGAGTGATCTAAATTCGTTTTACTTATCACAAAATGTGTTTCTCTAAATGCTCTACAAAAATAATTAAAATCGCCATTTAGTTAGTCGAAGGTAAAGGCGGCCAGAGGAGATACCATTGTGGATCGCTTGTAATACTCATTACTCGGCTCTTATCTGTCATTGGCAGCATAACACAATGCTCAAGTCGAAAATGCTGTAGCAAACACACCTTGAGCGCGATGGTCGGACCTTTGTTATATTGTATTCAATTTGAATGGTCAACAGAAACCGTTTGCCTTACGTTATCCTCCGCTTCACGTTTCTGCAATCTTTATATTTTTCCATGTATTGTTTATTTTCATTCTATATAATGCTGAATCTAATTCAATTTCCTAAGTCTGAATGCATTTCTACATTTTTACATAAATATAGTTATTTCTTTTATATTCTTAGCACCGGTATGCAGATATAACTGTGAAATGTATTCTCCAAGCAGTAACAATATAAGTTGTGGTATCTAACAAACTGTTATTCCATTTAATCTTGGTGTATTATGTCGAAAAGTTGCAGTTGCTCAATTTGATTTACGAGATGGTCAGGGTTGAGACGAAACAAAGTCAACTTGTTTTCATTCGAAAGTCGCATAAACACTTGGGTTTCTCTGGCCTCCTTTGTGACGAGTTGCACAATGTTGGGTTCGTCCGTCTTCAATGCACATACTGCTCGTCTCGATTGTTTCGACAGATTCGATGGGCGTCTCCCAAAAGGCTCTGATCCGATTTACAATTCGTTCCGACTTTCTTTACAAGTTACACAATGGCCTCTAAGCATAGTTTTATTTCAATGCTCTTAGTAGTCACCCGCCGTGAATATTTTTTTTGAACTTTTGTAAAGGGACCGGTAGAATTTTGGTGAAGTCGTAAATTCGTTAGTGACATGTATAGATAGAAAAAGTTGCATTTTTTTGTGACTTTATCCGGAGAATGCCAGAGTATTGTTCGGTCCATCCATAGGTTAATTGAACAATATTACCTATAGCGAAGTAAAATTTGAAATTATGTAAAAAAGTAAAATGCGCTTTATCTTTGCATGCATGGGTTTGAAAGAAAAAAAATATGGACTTAACTGAGCTAAGATCGATGGCAGTCAGTAAAACTTTACTACGTCCCTAAT